GGGCCGTGTGAGGCCACGCCAGCCTGTTTATCTGTCCCCCGCTCCATGGCGTTTGGGCTGTTTCCAGGCTGGGGCTGTTAGAGGTGGGGGGAGGGGCAGAGAGAGAATCCCCCGTAGGCTCCGTGCTGACAGCACAGAGCCCGTTGTGCGGCTCGAACCCACAAACCGTGAGATCATGACTTGAGCCAAAACCAAGTTGGATGCTTACCCGACTGAGCCCCGGGGCGGCTGTGTTTCTGCCGTGAGCGTCTTGGAGCCGCTGTGGTCATCCGCACACTTCTGTCGGCTGTAACCCCAGGGGCGCACTGCTCTGCGCGGGGTGGGGGTGGGGGCGTGTGCCCCCGGGGGAACCAGCCGTCGGCCGTGGTCCGGTGGTTCGCCCACAGGGCTGTGTCGCTTCGCCTCCTGCCTCAGGGTCTGGTTGTCCCCGTCCACAGCAAGGGATCTCGTCTGTGCCGTTTGGTGGGGACACAGCTGTGCTGCCCCGTGCATTTCTGTAGCTGAGTCGTGCGGCTGGTTTTCTTATCGAGTGTTAATCGACTATTCTATAAAATGCCCATTCTTGGCCTTTGTCAGCCTAGACAGAGAACTACTCAGTTTGATTTGAAACGTGTGACACTTGTTTTGGGCCAGTGTTCCACGTACGCTTGGCAGGGAGGTGTCACTTGCTGTGGTTTGGGGAAGGTTCTAGCAGTGCCGGCCAGCTCAGGTCAGGGGAGGGGTCTGCTCTGGGCTTCCATCTGCTTTCTCTCTCGATTCCCCAGTGGGCGTGAGTGCCATCGAGGGCCGCTGTGGGTCTGTCCCCTTCTCCTCGGTCAGCGTTTGCTTCCTGTCACATTGAGGCTGCCATGTCCTGCCCGTGTCCAGCCTTATGTAATGTCCCCTCCTCTCTGGCCGCGTCCTGTGGTTTGAAGTCTACCTCTTCTGACAACAGCGCAGCCACTCAGCTTCCACCGCTAACCGCTAACCGCTAACCTGACTCCCGTCACTGTTTACAACGTGGACAACACGTGGCTACCACCCAAGCCCATGGATGGAACGTTTCCATCTCCCCAGAAAGCCCCTCCCCCACCCCAGGAAACCGCTGCCCCGACCGCCATCGCGATAGAGCCTTCGTGTGTTCTAGAACCTTGTCAAATGGAGGATCCTCCTTTGTGCACGGCCTCTTTGGCTCAGCCTGCTTTGGCCGTTCATCCCCTGTGGTTCGTATGTGATCCGCACACGTCTGTGAACACACTGCCATTTACTTATTCACTGATGGACGCGTGGATTATTTCCCGTTGGGAGCTGTGAGGATCATGCTGCTTCCCACACACACGCACGTGCGCACACACACGCACGCACACACGGCTTTGTGTGGGCATGTTTTCATTTCTCCAGCAAATACCTAGTAGAACTTTGGGGCCCCGGGAGGCCCCGGGAGGTGTTTCCAGAAGCTTCCCAGCCGTGCGGCCATGTGCCCCTGCTGAGAGCCTCAGGGACACCCGGGTGTGGGCTGCACCGTGTGAGCCACTTTCTCGTCTCTGGAGACCAGGGCTGTTGGGCGCCGTGTCGTGGTTCACTTGGCCACCCGTGTGTCCTGTTTAGTGAAGTGTTGAAACATTTTCTCATTACACACGGCCTCCTTTTAATGAGTTAATATTTCCTTCATCTGTGACTACAGTTTTCATTTCCTCAGTGGTGTCTTTTGAAGAAAAGCCTTAATCTTGACGATGCAGTTTATTAGCTTTCCTTCTATGGTTGCTGCTTTATGGGTCCTGCTCGTGTCCCGAGGTTGTGAGTCTGTACTTCTATATTTCCTTCTAGAAAGCTTTGTTTTGGCTTTTATGTTTCAGTTTATAACATTTTTCACATCAGCTTTTGCACGTGGCGGGAGATGAGGGGAGAGGCCAGTGTTTTGACTCAAACCCTCAGCTGCCCCTGCACTGTTTGCAGAAAACACCGTCTTTCCCTTGGAAACTCCCAGAACGACAGCCTGTACACCCTCCTGGCTTCCGAGTGCCCTCGGTCCGATCCTGGCTGCCCCACGCTGGCTCGAGGCAGAGGCTGGGCCGTGCCTCTCCACGCGGTTTGGAAGCTCACTTACATTTATTGTCATTTCTGCCACACTGGGTTACGCCTCTGTTTACACGGTCTATCCCCTCCCGTAAAGGAAACGCTACCTCGAAGGTCATACCTTCTATTTTCTTCCTCCTGGTGGTGTCTCCCAAGATTTATGTTTCAGGAGTTTAATAAATTGATACCATGCTGCCGCCCATCTCCGAATGAAGCAAGCACATTGGTGGCCTTCAGGAATCCTGGCCTGCCACACACTAGCCACAGTGGAACAATCTAGAATTGTAGAATTTGTCCGTGTGGAGGGCTTTGTTGTCCAGTCGGCAGTGACTCCACCACGTCTCGCAGGGACTGGGTTTTCCTGTCCATTGGGCCCAACTTCTGGTTATTTGCCCCTTTCTGTGGACCCTCCCTCTGCATACCCCCGATCGCCAAAGAGGACCGTGTTTCCCCTTCTGAGACTTTGTAGACTTAGGACATGCCTCTGCCCCTTCATTCCAGAGATAATTCCCAGATGTGAAATTTGGGTACTTTTCCCTCAACACTTTGGGTTATCGTGCTTCCCGTCTTCTGAGATCAAGCTGACTCCTTTTAAGGAGTGCTTTCATTATCTTCGGCATGTTTTGCGTGAAAGAATCTAAGGTCGTGTTTTAAGAATCGATTCCATCTGGCTCTCTGAGCTTTTCAGTGTGAGGTTTTAGATCTTCTCTAACTTGCTAATTTTTTAAAAAAAATTTTAGGGGCGCCTGGGTGGCTCAGTCGGTGTCTGCCTTCGGCTCAGGTCATGATCTCACAGTTCGTGGGTTCGAGCCCCGCGTCGGGCTCTGTGCTGACAGCTCGGAGCCTGGAGCTGCTTCAGATTCTGTGTCTCCCTCTCTCTCTGACCCTCCCCTGCTCACACTGTCTCTCTCTCTCTCTCTCAGAAATAAGTTAAATGTTTTTATTTATTTCTGAGAGAGAGACAGAGCGAGTTGGGGGAGGGGCAGAGAGAGAGGGAGACACGGAATCCGAAGCAGCTCCAGGCTCCGAGCTGTCAGCACAGAGCCCGACGCGGGGCTCGAACCCACGAACCGTGAGATCATGACCTGAGCCGAAGTCGGACGTTCAACCGCCTGAGCCCCCCAGGTGCCCTTCTAATTTTCTGATTTTTAAAAACTGCTTACTTGAACATTCCCCAGTCCTCACTCACCGCTTCCCGCTTGTACCCCTGCATGGTGCCGACAGCTGCGTTCTCTATTTTTACCCTTTCCTGAGCCTGAGGGGAGATGTCTTCAAGCTGACCCTGCAGCCCGGGCTCCGGGGTGTCCGCGACCGCCCCGCCCGCCTCACCCCTGCTTCTCCTTTTGCGTCCTCCACGCTGTGTTTCCGGTTGTCTGTCCTTTATTGATTCTGCTTCACGTCATTGCGTCCGTCCTTCCGTCTCTGGAGAGGCTGGATTTAAGTTAACGGGCCCAAGAGGCCGTCCTTGTTGGCCCTCACTGGTCGGGTGGGCGCCGCGCGGCCTGCCCGGCTCGGGGCCCGGTCCCCCCGATGTCGCTTCCCCGTTACTTTCTCCCCCGGACCTGACAGCCATGCGCACAGGACCGTGCGGGCACGCGTGGAGGGAGGAGGGGTGCTGCGGTGGCTCCCACGGACCCGCGCGGCCAGCCTCGCCAGAGGCAGAGCTGGCAAGGGCGGGCGGCAGGGTCTCCCCAGCCCGCTGAGCCAGGGCGTTGCAGGTTGGGGTGGGTGGTGAGCCGGTGCCTACCCCCCTGCCTGGCGCTCCGGCTCCGCCCCCTGCCTCCCCTCGCCCTTCCTCTGACTGCCCCTCCTGGGCCGAGCGCGCCTGCGAGCCCAGGGGCCCAGCCCCACGCCTTCCACTCACTGAGATGGCGACTTCTGCCCGCACGAGCCCCGGACTCACCGCCCCTCTCTGGTGGCACCTGGGACCCGCTCTCCCGGCCCAGGCGACTCCCACAGTCTCCGCTCACCCCCAGCTCGGCCTCCGGCTGCCCTCACCGCCTCCAGCCTAGCGGACACGGATGAGGTCCTGACCCCACTTGGCTCCCTGAGTTCCTACCTCAGACCACACGTCCCGTCCCCTCCCTGCTCCGGAGCCCCGGTGGCCCGCTTCCTGGTGTGAGTCCAGACCCCGGCCCACCGTGCTGCCCCCAGGGTCTGGGGGGGCTGGCCTCGCCCCTGGCCCCAGGCTCGGCCATCTCTGTCCCGGCCACCGCGGCCTCTGCAGCCCCCCTCCACTTCTGGTGGTGCCCCTGCTGGAACCTTCCCCCATCTTCCACTCCCCACTTTGTTCCCGTCTGCACAAATGTCACCTTGGAAGCCTTTGTTGGCCTCCGCATTTGAGGGAGGCCCACCCCAAATTCTTCCTGGTTTAGAAAATGACGGGCTGTAAATAGGCCGCGGCAGGTGCCGCCCCAGGCCCACAGCTGTGAGTGTCGGGGCGGCCAGGGGGTGTTTCCAGCACAGCCGGGGTGTCCAGGCTGGCGGGCGGGAGAAGGGGGCGGGGCGCTGGCAGCGACAAGGCATGGGGCCAGCAGGTGGGGGTCCTCACGGGTTCAAGCGCACGGGAGGTGAGACGGATGCTAGGACCTTAGCAAGGCGACGCTGCTCGGGAGGTGGGGAGCCCCTGACCCCACCCGTTTGAGACGGGGCTGGGCACCGGTCTCGAAGCCCCCGCCGGGGGTCACGCAGTGCAGCTGAGAAACCCTGCCTGGGCAGGTGCTGGACTGTGGGTGGGCCGGCGCATGAGCCACAGGTCCCAGGAGACTGTGGGGTGGGGGTCCTTGAAGCCGTGGAAGGGTGGCGGCTTCTCTCGGAGGGTGGGGCCGGGGAGACTCGGACTCCGCTTGGCAGGGACGGACTCGGGGCCCCAGGGACGCCCCCTCGCCCCGCAGAGAGCAGGCCCCTCCCTTGGCGAGCATGCTGCACTTTATCTGAGTGTGGTGACTGCTGGGACAGCACAGAGGGGAGGCCCCCAGCCCTCCTTCCGCCTCCAGGTCCCTCCTGGGACTTGCTTTCCAGGCGCCTCCTGCTCGGCCGCTCTCGGTGCCCAGAGCCCAGGGAAGGGGCAGGTCATTCCGGGCAGCACGGGGCCCGTCCTGGCAGCGGACAAGGGCGAGCAGTCTGAGGGAGGTGGCGCCCGGCCAGACGGCAGCAGCCTAGCCCACCTGGCACCGTGCACCCCCGCGGGGCCACAAGCTCTGGGCACGAACCTGCGCCCACCCCCGGCCCACCCTCCTGCCATGCGAACCCCTGCCAGGCGCTCTCCTGGCCCCTCCACATGTGCCCCCAGGCTTGCTGGGCCCCCCAAGGCCCAGGACGCCCCCCACTGGTGTTTTCGTCCCACGCTGCTTCACCAGCTCCGGAAACCTCTGTCGCTGCCGCACCACCACCCCACAGCTGCCCCCCAGGAGCTCCCCTCCCCAAAGCGGGGGCTCACCCGTTCCTCCCCGGGGTCCTGGAGCCCGGCTCCCTTCCGGCCGAGGGCTGCTCATCGGACCAAGGGCTCCGGGCTCGCCTGAGCAGAAGGGGGTGCCAGAACCGGGGGTGTGTGTGGTAACGTTTCCCTTCTCGGGGGCCCTGCTCTAAGGGGAAGGTGGGCACCTGAGCCCCAAACAGGCTTGTGTTGTCGGGTCAGTGGCCAAGGTTAACTGTGGCGGGGGCCCTCACCATGACCTTGGCCAGCCTTATCCAGGTGCCTGGGCACAAAAAAGGGCATTTATCCCAAAGGCAGCGTCTGGGGGGCTCCGATGGGCCGCGGTGGGCAGGGTTCCCTGCAGGGGGCCCCCACTCCCCTGCCCGATGCCCTGCCCATGGCCGGCCTCCCCCCAGGCACTTGGCTCTGTCTCCCCCGATCAGCCTCCCATCCGGCTCAGCACCTGAGCCGTGCCCAGTGCCACAGCCCCAGTCAGATGGGGGGCGCGTGACAAGGTCAGTAGACCAGGCCTCCTGCTGAAGGAGGGAGGGGGCACGCGGGAGGGACAGGAGGGGGGGACACAGGGCAGGGGGCCCTGGTCTTGGGCTTCCGGGGAGAACGGGGCCCCTTGAGGACCCGGGGACCCCAGGCCGTGTCCGGACCTGCCCTGGTGGCCTCTGCGTCCCGGCCCCGGGGACGGGGAGCTGCAGTGCCCTCGCCAGGGGGCCAGTACCTCTGTCCTCAGGGTGGGGCCCATCTTGTCCTCCTCTTCCAGGGAGCCAGGCCTCACCGTGGGTGCTGGGGTGCAAGATGGGCCTGGGGGGCCTGGCGCTCTCATGGTGGAACTTCAGCACGTGAGCTGGGGGGAGGGGGGAGTCAGCAGGGCAGGGCGTGCTGGGGGGTCAGCAGGGCGGGGCGTGGGGCGGGGCTCCCTGCTTGTTACCCCCCCATTCACTGGTGCACAGCCAACGGGAAGGGCTCCATCCGGCTAGTGACGGGCACCCGCGGTTCCCTCCGGCCCGGCTGGGGTGGGACAGAGGCTGCACAGGGGTCCCGGGGCGAGGCGGGGCGGGGGTGGGGGGGCTCCGGGGCCCTCACAAGGAAGCCGCACCACTCACTCTGGATGGCCGACTCGCAGGCCTGGCTCACGAGCTGGTAGATGGTGGCCAGGGACTGGGGCTCCCCCTGCAGGGGAGATGGGCCACATGGCCAAGTGCTGTGCCCAGCGGCCTCCCGCACGCCCCCCAGGAGGCGCCTCACTCACCTTCTCTCCTCGCTCCCCTTTGGGCCCTGGCAGCCCCTGAAACGGAGGAAAAAAAGGAAAGTGGGTCAGCACAGAGAATCAACGTGCCTGGACCCTGTCCTGGGCCGGGTGAGGGCTGCATGCCTGGGGCGGCGGCAGAGGCTCCTGACTCTCAGAAGATGGGGGGCAGAGCCTGGTCCTGGGGTGCTGACAGCACCGAGTCCCCTGCAGCTGGGACTGGGCCTGCCCCCCACTCTCTCATGCCCGTAGCCCCTCCCCCTGTTCCCCGAAAACCTACAAAGGGGCCCTGATTGGGCGGGAAGGAGGTGGTTACTCACATTTGCTCCCCCCTCCCCCGCCTCCCGCCTTTGCCGTCTGGCTGGTAGGAGGGAAGGGGACTTACCGTGAGCCCCACAGCCCCCGGGGGTCCTCGCTGCCCTCCGGTGCCCCTGGCCCCCGCTGTACCCTGGAAGCCCTGCAGGGGTGCAGAGGGTGTGGCTCCTCCCCACCTGCCCTGGGGCTTGTCCAGGCCCCGTACCCAGGGCAGAGGCCCCTCCAGGCAGTGAGTCATCACTAAAGCGTCTCTTGCCCTGAGTGTGAACACTGTTGCCCCCTGAGCGGTGGCAGCTCCCAGCACTGAGCCCAGCATGGCCCCCGGGGAACCACAGGCCGGGGCTGGGAGGTGCTTCCGAGAGAGGCCGCAGGGAAGGAGAAGCTGGTCCCGATCCTGTCGCCAGCCTCACCCATCCACCCTCCCTCGGCTACCCGGACCCACAAGGATCGAGGTGCAGGGGTGACTGGGGCCGTGCCAGCATGGCGTTTCCAACCTGCCCAGCAGGGGTGAGGAAGACCCTCGCTTGGTGTAGCCTCACGCCCATGGGCACAGGGCACTCACACACTCCTGGGCACAGGGCACGCGCACGCCTGGAGGAGCCCCACCAGGTTCCAACCCAGGAGGGAGAGGCCTCCCCAGGTCGCCTGCAGGGGCGGGGCTGCAGCCACAGAGCAGAGCCTGGTCTGTTCAGCCCTAGGAGGTGGGGGGGCCTCTCAGGAGGACCTACCCTCGGGCCCGGAGGTCCAGGCAGGCCAGCACTCCCCTCCAGACCCCTCATTCCCTGAGGACAGAGGACGGGGTGGGCTGGCGTGGGGGGTGGCCTGGCACCCCCACACGCCCCTCCCCATGGTGGCCCATGTCACCCCCATGGGCAGAACTCAGCACCCAGCGACCCACACCCGTGAAGGGGGCCAAGGCCAGCCAAGCTCAGGGCCTCCCCTCCCGGCTGGCCAGGCCCCTGTCCCCCCAGCCTCTCAGACCCCCCCAGCCTCTCAGACCCCCCAGCCTCTCAGACCCCCTCAGCCTCTCAGACCCCCCAGCCTCTCAGATGCCCCCCCCCCCACCACAGGCTTCTCTCCCACCTTAGGTCCCTGGAGGCCGACCTTCCCAGGGGGGCCCTGGTGACCAGGATGGCCCTAGAAGAGAACAGAGACAGCTGGCCAGGCTGAGGCCCCTTCCCCGAGACCCAGGTCCCCAGCCCGTGCCCTCCCTGCGCACGCAACCCTGAGCGGCGCCTCATCCCTCTACCTGCAAGCCCGGGGGTCCGTGGTCCCCCTTCTCTCCTTTGACCCCTGGCGGACCCTGTAGAGGAAAAGGACTCAATCTGTCCCAGAGGAAGGGGGGATGCAGCCGGGGCAGGGGGAGGGGAGGCAGCACCTACCACAGGTCCTTGCACAGTTCGGCCCTGGGTCCCTGGCGACCCCTGCTGACCCCCAGGACCCTCAGGTCCCATCTGTCCCGGTGGCCCGGGCTCCCCCTGCAGACACAGGTGAGGGCGGGGCTGAGAAAGCCTCCATCCTGCCCTCAGGGGCCCCCCTGGCAGCGGACCCGGGGCCCCTACAGAGATGTCCTCATCTCACTGCCCACCCTGGGGGGGGGGGGAGGGGGTGTCCTGCTGGCACCTGCCCTACAGCCCGGGACTGACCGAGGCCACGTCTCCAGGTCACAGAGCCAGTGACCCGTTCTCCCTTCGCGACCGGGAGGGGGACAGAAAGCCCTGTGGCAGAGCCGACCTGGACAGGCCGGTCACAGCTCTGATGCCCCAGCACCAGGCTCCATCCCCGCTGGAGCGCACTACCCGGTCCCTAAGGGCCCGGGTCTCTCGCTCTTTCCACCGTCTGAGATTCCAGGGGAAAATCGATGCTTTCAAAGAATTTTTGTGATTTAAGCATATAATGTACCAAACTCCATAAAGGAAACTGCAGACATTCTCATGTATGAATATCAATGAGAAAATCCTAAGGCATCAGCAAATCGAACCCTGCAGCACGTTAACGGGTGATAGGTGCCTGGTTTACTGGGTTCAAGTATAGTTCAGTGCCAGGAACACACGAAAATCACCCCAAGTGAGCCCCAGGAAAAATAATTCTTTGGCTGGGTCCAGCTCAGGCAGCCCCAGAGCTTAATATGTGCCTTTGATTTTCGAATGTCCTAATAAAATAGGAATATGCACAGGTGACTATCAGACAGCAAAACGTATCTCTCTCCACGCCAGCGGGGGCAACCTGGTCACAGTGCAGGTCACAGACATGCGGCTAGCTTCCATAATCTATGGAGTGCTCCCAAGAACTAATATGAAAAATAACCCTGTGGCAAGGATTCCTGGGATATTTGTCCAACCAGAGAAGTCCAGCAAATTCCAGCAACTTCCACAGGGTATTGGAGCTGCTGTAGGAGAAATGCCAACGCATTCCACCTGTCCGATCGCTCAAGGTCAATGACGTTTGCGATTTCTGGGATCTGGGGTGGGAAGCTGGCCCCTCACTGGGCAGGGCACTTGGCTTCTGGTCGTGGGCCCCCACCCTCTGGCCCCATGGGACCCCCCACAACTCACCCTGGGGCCTGGGAAGCCCTGCTCTCCTGGGACCCCATTCCTTCCGGGGAGGCCCTGCAAGGTCACAGACCGGGCTGAGCCGCAGGGGCCGCCGAGGGCCTGGAAGCATTGCTCCCCAGGACCTCAGTCCCCCAGTTCAGGTGGAGGAGGGGAAGGGTCCAGGGCGGGGTCTGGCCCACCCTTCCCTGCCACAGCCTCCGGGTACAGCCGTCTCCAGTTCTGGCTGGTCTTCGTTCAAATCCCGGCCCCGTCTGGCGAGGTCTGCCGACGGCCAGGCCAGGGCCGCCGCGTGCTGAGCGACATTCCCACCGCACGGGCTCCGGAGCCTCGGGACTGGCAGAGGCGCCGGCCCCGCTCCATGGTGGGGGCCCCACAGCCACGGTACCCAGGACAGAGGCCGCCCACGTGGCTGTGACTCCCTGCCAGGCCACGTCACGCCCGCCAGCCACCACCAGCACGGTCCGGGGCCCCCACCAGCAGGGCTGGTTCAGGGGAGGGAAGCCGGAGGGAAGGAGAGGCTTCCGGGGGGGGTCTCACGAGGCAGGAGGGTGAGGCGGTGGGGGGGGCTTGCGAGCGCGTCCCGTCTTTGCGGCAGGCTGGGTCAGCTGCTCGGTGGTGCGAGGCAGCAGGATGTTGCCAGGAGCCCAGGTTGCCCCGGGGGAGCGGAGGATGGACTCACCGGAGGTCCTTGGGGGCCCGGGGGCCCCGGGGTCTGTGAGGAGCAGGCGCAGGAGGAGGAGAAGGCAGGGCAGGTGTCTCCAGCCTTCTGGGAGAAAGGGGACCCCACTCATTAAGTGGACCCTTACCTGTTCTTGTCTGACCTAGAGCTTGGACAGCCACAGACACTGGGGTTCCAGGGCCAGGGTGGCTGGGAGTGAGGGGCGGGGACCGGATCGTGGTGCCCACCCCCAGGTGCCCTGCGTGGGCCCTCTCCCAGTCCCTCCCAGTCCCCAGGCTGCCCAAGCGCAGTGTGGGCACAGTGTGAGGACCCCTGCCCACGGCTTCACGGTGCGGAGGCCGCCTGAGTCTCTGGCAGTCCCTCTGGCTTTGCTGGCTAAGCCCCTTCCTGGCCAGCCCTCTACACCCCAACTGTGCCCACAAAGAAGGGAAGTGGCCCCTTAGTACACGCCAGTGGCCACCCCTGCAGCTGTGGGCTTTCTGACACACTCCAGCCTGCCTTTGCCCCCAGGGTCTCCAGGACACTTGCATGCAGCTGCCCAGGGCTCTGGCTCTGGCCCAGAGGCAACCTCCTCCGGGAAGCCTGCCCTGATTTCTCCCTGCACCGTGCTGATGCACATCCTGTCTACTCCGGACTCTGCGCCCTTGGCAGGCACGGGCCCACCTACCGAGGCAGGGAGCTCACAGCATGTGTCCTCCTCTGCCCAGGAGTCACTGCACACAATCTGCAGCGTCTGGAGCTGGAACTACAATGCAGAGCGGGTCAGCCAGACGAGCTCGTGGCTGCTGCGGCGCCCCCTCCAGCCCGCTCCAGCAGGACTAGGCCCATGCTCACGGGGGCTGAGGTGCTCCGGGGGCCGCGGGCCTTGGCCAACCTCCCCAGCATGACGAAGCCGGCCACAGGTGGGCTGCCTGCCTCTCCCACGGGCCTCTCGGCCACCTTCCGGCAGTCCACGTAGAGCCTGACCTTGGAGCGGCCCACGGCCACGTGCACCTGCCAGACACCACCAGGGGTGGGCACCGGTCTGTGCCCGCAAGGCCAGGCCAGATGGGGGAAGAAAGGGCCCATTACCTGGGGGCCAGGATCCCGACTCCATCCCGGGTCTAGTGGGACACCCCCTCCCTGGGCCTCAGTTTCCCCTTTATAAAATGGAGCAGATTACACCTGTTGCAGACCCCTCCCAGGGATTCCTGGGGCCCGGGAAGGGCTGGGGCGCTCTCTGACCCAGATTAAGACATCTGTCAGAGGGGAGCAGAGGGGCAGAGGCCTGGACCGGACAACATGACGTCCAAGGAAAACGGGAGGGAGTGGGGGCACGAGGCAGCCTACAGTTGGGAGGCAGGCACGTCTTCTGGGACCTGTCGGGGGGGCCTGCTCCAGAGCCTGGGGAGCAGGGGACGGTCTCAGGGGAAGTACACTTCGGTCTTTCGGGAACCTTCCCGGACCTTGTGGAAGCTTCCAAAGAATATCCTCCTCACTTCAGGCTGGTCAAAGGTGACCTCTTGCAAGGTGGCCCTGGGGTCGTGGTTGAAGTAGGTCAGAGACTTCCTGCCGGCTGCAGGGGAGGGGTGAGGAGCCCATGAGGCCCCCAGGGCGGAACGGACAGCTGGTGCCAGGGCAGCACGGAGTCACATGCACCCCAGCCTCAGGGCCCCTGTTTGGGACTCCTGTCTCCCAGTGCGGGCGGCCCCCAGCCTGGCCTGGAGGCAGGGTTCCTCGGACCCGAAGCCGCAGGCCCCCACCCTGCCCCCGGGCTGACCGTCCAGCAGGACCCCCAGGACGGGCTGGAGGTCCTCGGCCGTCATCTGCCACAGCGCAAAGGGCTCGCGGGGCGTCTCGGGCAGCAGGCGCAGGAGGAAGACAACGGTGTGCTCCGGCGGGAGGGCGGCCAGCTGGGTGTCACTGTCGGGGCACAGGCGGGGGCCACTGCAGGCCTGGGAGGAGGCGGGGTCCCGCCGTCGCCCAGACCCGGGGCTGCAGAGAGGGGTCCGTGACCACGCTGGGCCCCTCCTGCCTCCATCCCCAGTAGTAACAAGTGGTACATAAGGGACAGAAGTGCCCCGGGCTGGTGGGGGTTCAACAAGACGTGCCCTGAGGACGCAGCCCACCGCCCCCTGCCCCCTGAGGCCTGGCCGGGACCCAAGGCTGCCCTGCCCCAGCCAGTGTTCACGACAGTCCTGGGCAGCGTCCCCCAAGACCGCATTCTCTAGGGTCTCTGCGTGGGGGCAGAGGGGACAGGTCAGGGAGGCTCAGCAGGCTGCGGTCAGGAGCCCATAGGCAGCCCTGCCCTCCGGAGTCGCTCCCACAGTCCCGAGCCTGTTGGAGTGCTCAGGGCTGGGCCCCCAGGGGGCGCTGAGGGCTGGGAAGGGCAGGGAGCAGGGTCTTCGATCACCCAGTGAAACTGCTGCTAGAGGCCTACGGCCGTGCTCTCTGCCCTTCATTTCCTCTTAAGATAAGCAAGAGACCCAGCCCTGCCCATTCCTGTGGTTCTTTAAACAGACTGACCCCAGGGCCTTGGTACAGGCTGCTCCTTCTTCCTGAGGTTCTTCCCTTCCCATCGTCTCCCTGCCCTTATTTGTCTGCCACTTTCTTGGGGAGCCTTCCTGACCCCATTACAGGGGGGGACGCTTTCTACTCTTAGGAGCCCCGAGCCCCATTTGCAGCAGCTATCATGGGGGGGAGCTGTGCTGGGTGACCTCACCTGGGGTGGACGATCACATCTGAAGTGGGGGCCACCCGGGCAGAGCCTCCTGCCCCCACCTCTTGGGCAGCGAGCACCAGAGGGCAGAGAAACATGAAGTGCCCAGTGCGGGGGCCCCGGGACAAGACTGTCACATGCAGAAAAGGGGTAATCCCGGGGGAGCGGCCCCCACAGCGATAACGACAGTGGTGGCATCCAGGTAGGGTTTGCCCTGAGAGTCGGAGCGTAAGCTGCGGGGCTTGAACCCCACGCTAGAGCTTGGATGAGAGGAGAGGCCACCGAGAAAGAGACAGGCTTCAGCCCCCCGCGCAAAAGTGAGACCTGCCCACCGCCTAAAGGAGAAGTTAACCCAGGAAGAGGCGCGGCCAGGACCCCTGAGGCCGGCGGTGAGGCTGCCCTGCTGTCTGCTGACCCGGAGGAGGTCCTGCATCTAAGCAGTGCTGGCTGCGTTCTGTAAAATTACCTATTTTGCATTTTTCAAATTTCCATTACAGGGCGTATGACTGCGTTGATAACTTACAACATATTAACTTAAGAAGAGGTTTTGCTGTGCATATCACAGTTCCAGTTTCGATTCACGATCTCCCCACAAACGGGGGGTGGGGGTGTCAGATGTGGTCACAGAGCAGCCGCTGGGGCAAACCAGGTATTTGCAGATTGGCCTGATCAGAGCCCACCCGGGAGACAGCGGGGGCCTCTGTGCGTAAGTCTGCAAGTCTGATCGGTGCTTGGGCCACATGGACACGGACCCACACGTGGCCTCGTTCCACCCATGCAAGATTTATTCCTCTGGAAAACCCTGCTCTCCGGGGAGGTCCGCCCGGTCGGCTCTGGGGGACAGAGCGGTGGGGCCTCCCCAGGAGCCACCCCCACTGCACAGCTGCCCCCTCTCGGGCCACGGTCCGTCCCCGGCCCTCCCACCTGGCCCGGCGTGTCAGCTGGGCGTCCTTGAAGAGCGTGAAGGTCTTGGAGCGGCCGAGCGCCGAGGGCTCCATGGCGACACCGCGGATGGACGCGTACTCCTTTTCCACCAGACCGAAGGCTGCCATGAGGTCAAAGCCTGGGACAGGCAGCAACGCCAGGGGATAATCAGCGACACGAGATGAGGGCCGGGGGCAGGACACGAAGAGACAGCAGGAGTCAGGGGACAGGAGAGGGGGTGCGTCGATGGGGAGAAGGTGAACGTGGGGACCACAGGGGATGCGTACTCGGGGCGCCCACCCGCCGGCCTCCCCCTCTGCTGCACAGCCCTCGGCCTCCCACACCCCTCCGTGTGCGACCCCACGCCTGGCAGAGGCCAGGGTGCTCAGCGGCCGGTCACAGCGTGCGCCCCGGCCCAGAGGGCTCAAAGCGTCTGCCCCCTTCTGTGACGCACAAAGCCAATGAGGAGTCCTATACTGGGCACCCAGCTGGGAGTGGCCCTGCCTCACCACCCGTGGGGGCCCGAGGGACACTGGGCCCCGGAGACTCAGGCCTGCGCACATCTGCCTGACCACGGGCGGCTCTCATATCAGCCCTGAGTCTGGGAGCGTCTCAGACCCACGAAGCCCTAAAGATGCTGGGTGAACCCTGTGCTGGGCCCCCCACCCGGCTGCCAGTCAGCAGGGAGCCTCGAGGAGGCCTTAGGGGGCCCAGGGCTTTGTCTCTGCTCTGCCGTGTCCAGCTGGGACCGTGGACAAGCCTCAGTAACCTCGACTGTGAGGCGAGAATAAAGCACTGGCAGCCTCATTCCACTCTCACCTCCTGCACAGGTGAGTCCTGACTGGTGCCTCCGACGACCACAGGACCTTGGTTCCCTGTCACTGCCCCTTCGCGGTGGGTGGGGGTCCCAGGGCACCCTCCCCAGAGGAGGGGGGGACAGGTGGGGGTGTGGGGTGGGCTCAGCTGTCACACAGGGCAGGCCTACCTGGGAGGGAGCCGTCTGGGCTGAGGGCGGGGCAGGCAGCTGGGAGGCCAGAGGGAGTCGGTCAGGGGCCCGGGCACGGGGCTGCGCCCCCACCCGGGAGCACCCTGCCCTGAAGTCTGCAGACGCACTGGAGCTGCTGGTCTTCGGCCTGCGGTCCCCACACCTCAGGGGAGGGACTGGCAGGGTGCCCTGCTCCCTCAGGGACCTCACTGCCACCTCCCGCAAGACAGCATGCACTCGGGGGTGCTCCCACTGGGTACCAAACCCCGAGGTTTCTGGCCACTCAATGTGCCCCAGGTGGCAGGGCCAGGGAGATGGACACCCTGACCTGGGGACACGCCGACCAGGTGTCTGGCTGTGCAGACCCCCCCCCCCCCCCCCCCCCCCCCCCCCCGTGCACTGCGAGTGCTTAGAAGTTGTTCACGGGCAGTAAAGGCACCACTGAGTAGGAAGACACCCATCCCCAGAGGCATTCAAGCCCAAACTAGGTGGCCCCAGGGAGGGGACACAGAGGGAGGCTGGAGTGGCTCAGCTGAGTGCCCTCGCGGGTCCCCTGCTCTTCCGTGTGTCCTCTCAGCGGGTCCCGCCTGTGGGTGGCCGTCCCCCAGGGCCGACTGAGGCCATGTCCCTGTCCCCGGGGCGTCGAGGGAAGCCAGGCTCCCTGTCTGTGGTGCACGTCCGGCTTGCCCAGGATGCCTGTCGGGCTGGACACTGCCTGCACCCCCTGAGCGCAGCTCGGAGAGCCGGGGCCCCAGACACACCAGCCTGCGCGCATCTCGCGGGCGGATACGGTCCGACCCCTCGGGTTGGTGGCGGTGCCGTACAACGGGGACGGTTTCCACGGAAACCCTGATTCCCTTCTGCTCGTTCTGCAGTGCTCCCCACAGCTGCCGGCAGGACCCCGGCGAGGGGCCCCCAGGCTCTAGGCTCCCGGGGGCCCGGCTGGGGCCTGGGGTCTCGGCGCCCTCACCTGTGTGGCCCACGGCAGACACAGCCTCGCTCTCGCCTCCTCTGTACACTGCGGACACCAGGACCCTGTACTTGCTGGCTGCCAGCAGGTTGGGGAGCGTCACGTGGCTACTGGGTCCTGGAACAGAAATCTGGGGGCGGGGGACGCGGTCACCTAAGCCGCCCCCTCTGGAGCATCTCTGCCTCCGTTTGTCTGCGTCGGGTCACAGAAGAGCTGTGTCTCCCCCGCTGTGCCCAGGGCCAGGGGCCCACAACGGGCCATGGCCACCCTGCCCCACGGACACCCACCGACTTCTCGAGTCCCAAGCCTGAGGCCAGCGCGTAGGTGAGCCGGTAGTGGAGGACGTGGCCACTAGGGGGCGTCCAGCTGACGCGCAGGCTGCCGGGTGAGTCAGACGCCAGGGCCAGGTCGGAGGGGGGGCTCCGGTGTGCTGTGAGGCGGGCACCACTCGGGGGGCTCAGGCTGGGGCTGGAGGATGGCCAGCCTGCCCCGCGGGGGTCTGCGCCTGCACCCGGCCCCCCCCCCCCCCGTCCTGTGGCACACGTGGGACCACTAGACACCAGCTCAGCTCCAGGACAGTCTGCCGTACCAGGTGACTGGAAACTTCGGCCGCCCCCAAACACCTGCCCGGAGGGCTCAGGGGCGCCGTGGACCCACGTGGTCAGGTCAGAGGGGCAGGGGCTCGGGGAGCTGCCTGTCAGTGGTTCTGGGGTTAGAGGCCCTGGGCCCCCGGAGCTGGGAGGGTCTGGGGTCCCTCTGGGCTGTTCTTGCTCCGCGCACAGCTGGGGGCAGAGCGGCGGTCACCTACAGGGGCTGTAGCGGAGGGACACAGGGTCGCTGCGGGCCCCACCCCTGTAGCAGGCCCGGACGGTGATCTCATACTCCAGGCGGCTTCGCAGGCCAGGCAGGACAGCCATGCGCCGGGTCCCTGGGACAGAGATCTGTGGAGAGGAGGGCCAGGCGTCCGCCCCGCGGAGAGGTGTCCTCTCCCCAGGGCTCGGCGCACAGGCCGCGGGCAGGCGGCTGCCCCTGGGAGGAAGCACCAGGGGCTGAGCCCTCCCGGAGCTGGGTTTTGGGGGTGGCCCTCCTCTCTCCAGCCCACACCTCGCGGGCCTTCCTGTCTCCCAGGGGCATCCACTTGATCTGGTAGACGAGCACGCCGGATGCCGCCGCGGCCGTCCACTCCAGCTGGACCTCGTCCCCAGGGAGCTCTGTCACCAAGAGCTGGCTCGGGCTGGGGACTTTCCCTGGAAGACGGGGTGGGGAGACTGAGGCTGGGGGGCAGCGCCTGGAGAGGCCGATGCCATGAGGAGTGGCCTCCGCACCCCAGTCCCTCGTGACTCGTGGGAATCATCCTAATGTGCTCGTGAAGGAGGTTTCACTGATGCAGGACCACACTTGGGAGTGACCGCCCCATGGGGGGCAGAAGGGACCCCCGACCCCACCCAGCAGCCATGCCCACATTTCCCCCCTTTTCCCAGGACCCGGCTGCAGGCTGGGCACGAGCCCTGCTCCTAGAGGTGCCCTGAGCCGTGCCCTCGAGGGCCTACACCCCGTCATCACACCTGTCTGGGCACATGGGCCCCTGGCTCAGCACTGCTTGGAGCAGCTACGTGCTACTGTGAACCATCCACTGGGCAGAGGCATGGAGCCGGCCTGGGGACCCCGCCGCAACGTCTGCCCACTCACGTGTGGTCAGGCGGCCGGTCAGCGTGGAGGAGCTGCCCCCGGGGTAGAGGCAGGTGACGCGGACGGAGTATGCAGTGGCGGAGGACAGAGCGCTCAGGGTGGCCGAGGTGGCGCTGCCAGGAGCCTCCACCTGCAAGCCGGCAGGTGCGTGGCTGGAGGCCTGGAGCCAACCCCCCAAGCCAGGGAGGGGCCAGCCCCCCCCAGGAAGGAGGCACCCGCCAGCGGGCCGGCCCACGACCTCTCCCGAGTAGGCGAGTGAGCATGCACTGGGAGCAGGGAGCCCAGCACACACGCGGGCCCCCCGGGGCCTCCCCCCACTGCCCCCAGGGAGCCCAGCCAGCCTGTCCCGACAGCACGAGCCCCGCACACTTCGTCACGGGTGTCATTTATGTGTATTGGTCGGATTCCTTGCCTCCCCCCACCCCGGTCTCTCCCCCCGACCCCTTCAGACTGGGCCCCCCAGGAAGTGATGGTCAGTGCTGCTCCACAGCCTGGGGGCCCAGCCGACACCCAACAACTGTGAATGCGCTGAGGTGCTGGGACCCCCCCATACCCTGTTCACCTTGCTCCCGCTGGACACCACGCCCCCCAGTGGCCCCTGGCAGGTGCTGTTCTCACCTGCCCTGAGTGGCTGCCCTCGCTGGAGATGAAGCTGATCCTGAACAGACGCACAGGCTTTGAGATGCCCTCCCAGAAAACACGGGCTGAGTCGTGACTCACATCCGAGAAGCCAAGGTGTCGGGGGGGCGTCAGGGTGGCTGTGGGGCGTGTCACGGCCTCAGGGGCCAGTCAGCGCCCTGTCCCCAAGTGTACGGGGGGGGGGGCCAGTGGCTACGCCTGCTGGGGATCCCCCCACCCCCCATGGAAGGCTAGGGGGGAGCCAGAGCGGGGTAGGCGGGCGCTCACAGGTCCTGGCTCGGATGCCACGTGCCTCGCTGGCCTCGGGCCCTCGCAGGCTCTGCACCCAGACGTCATAGTCCCTGCCAGGCTCCAGGCCGTCCAGAAGCACCTCGGGCTGCTCCACCCGCACCTGCAGGGACGTGGCGCTCGTGCTGGGCCCTGCCCGCCACCCTCCCCACCCCATCTGCCCCCACCCCTGGTCACCCTTCTCCGCCACAAACCTCTCTCCCCTCCTCTTGGCCCTTGGCGGAGGCTGACAGGCACCGCACCAGGTACTGAGTGGCCCCGGCCGATGGCTGCCAGGCAAGGCGGATGGTCCTGGGTGTCACTGCACCCAGGGTCAGCTCCTGGGGCGGAGGCAGAGGCGCTGGGGGAAGGCAGACACTTTAGGAAAGCAGCACTTTGCAGAAAGCGTACACGCAACCCAGGGCCTCTTGTTCAAATGGCAGCGGGGCCGGGTCCGAGCAGACCCTGTGGCGGGGCTCCGAGCAGCCTGTCTCGGGCAGACGCAGGTGGGAGGAAAGGCCACAGACCATCCTGCCTCCGTGCCCGCACTTCACTTGGGGCCAGGTTTCCAGCTCACAGCTCTGGGGAATCCCAGCCGCCTGTGGGTTTCTGTCTAAGGCAGGGCCCCTAGGGTAGCGGCACCTTGAAGACGCCACGCACCTCCACGGAAGGTCCAGAAATGGCCAGTGCGTGAGCCAGAAAGCAGCCTAGAGGCTGCCAGGGGCTGGGGGCAGCGGCCAGGGGCACGCGTCTTCCTCTAGGTGAGGACAAGGTCTGCGGTAGACTGTGGTGACCCTCAGGGGCCAGACTAACAACCACAGTCTCACACTTGCGAGCTGCACGTGCAAATATCCCAGTAAAGTGTTAAGAGGGCTCGTGGCAGGCCAGGTAGGCGTGAGCTCCAGAAAAGGCTTGAGCAGCTCAGAAGAGGGTCAGAGACTGGGCTGAGGCCGGGCCTGCCTGCCGCCCCGCCCTTGCTGAGGCTCCAAGGGGAGGCTGCAGGTGGGGTACCCCTGAACCCCCAGCCCAGCCGGCTCTGCCCCACCCACCTGTGGTCACGAGGTGCCGCAGGCCCTCCCCGAGCCCAGCCTTGAGGACAGGGAACACAGACACCAAGTACTCCGTGCCGGCTGTCAGGTTGTGAAGCTCCACGGACGAGGTGGGCCCCTCCACCACCGCCTGCAACAGGAGCCTCAGTGGAGCCAGGGGTGGGCACAGGGGGTGCACGGGGGGTGCGCTACAGGGGGTGCAGGGGTGGACACGGGGGTGCACGGGGGTTACAGGGGGTGCAGGGGGTGGGCACAGAGGGTGCACAGGGGTACAGGGGGTGGGCACAGGGGGTGCACGGGGGTGCAGGGGTGCAGGGATACAGGGGGTGCAGGGGGTGCAGGCGGTGCAGGGGGTGGGCACAGGGGTGCAGGGCAGGGAGACAGCTCTGGTGGGGGCTGCGGTCAGTCTTTGCTTCCCACACGGCTGCACCCCTGGCTACGGCCACCAAGCAGCCATCAAAGGCGTGAGCGTGCCCAGGCGCTCCATCTTCCGCACCGGCCACCTGAGCGTGCCCTTGGGGCTCCGGCTCAGGGGCCGCTGAGGGTCTGGCGGGGCCACCCTCACCGTGCTCTTCTGTCTCCACACGGCCGCGTCATGAGCGGCCCTGGCTGTGCGCCGGCAGGTAGGGGCCACGTCTCACCTCCCTGGGGGCGCCACCCCTGGAAGGCTGCCACACGATCCGATACTTGAGAGGCAGCTGGGGGCCTGGGGTCCAGGACAGGTGGATGCTGGAGGAGGTCACCTGGGTCACAACCAAGCTGGTGGGAGTGAAGAGGGCGTCCGCTGTCGGCGTACCTGTGGGGCAGGGGGGAGAACGGTCGACCCTTAGCAGCTCCCCCTGCTCTCCCTGGCTGCCACTTCTGGAAGGGGCGGGCGTCGCCCAGGCTGCAGACACCCTCAGAGCGCTGGGACCCGGGGAGAGAGGGAGGGCAAGGCGTACCACGGAGGTGCCACGACTGCCCTGTCCCTTTGCCCAAAGTGGCCGGGCAGCGCCGCAGCCAGCAAGGGGGGCCCTGCCCGGCCTCCCCCACCCGCCGCTCACCTGGGGCCCTGCTCCTGCCCTGCACCTTCTGGCAGATGAGGCAGCTGAGCAGGCCGGCCAAGGTGCCGAGCTGGGGGAAGTCCTGCACGTTGTGGACGGTGAGGTCCAGCGGCTGGGACGCCAGGAGCTGCAGCTCCGCCTCGTCCGCGTTCTTCACGCCTGTTCACAGGGCACGGCCGTGAGGACGCCCCCGGCCCTGCCCCCTGGGCGCCGCTGCCCATCTTACAGCCAAGACGCCCGGGCCCCTTGCCTAAGTCACCCTGCAGTTCGAGGGGCCTTAGCAAGCTCCGTGCCCAAGATCCTGGAGGCCCCAGAGCCGGTCACCTGCCAGGCCCCCCGAGAGGCCGCAGCTGGGCGCTGCTGCGGGTGGGGCTGGACCCCCGAAGGCCCCTTGCAGGCTCTGCCCTGCCTGCCTGATCTCTATGGGGTTTGGGGCCGGGGGGAGGCCGGTGTGCTTTCCTCAGAGTCCCACAAATGCCCAGGCCTTCCCATGAACCTGGGACCTGGGACACACCAGCACTGGGGGTCTGGGGCACCAAGGAGGCCCCCATATCCACAGTTCCCTGCTCAAGGGGCGGAGGTGATAACCAGCCAGCGGCGCAAGCACAGTGAGGTGGGTGGGGGCTGGTGCCTGTGGCACAGAGCATGGCACACACAGCAGGCAGGTCCACATACGCTGCGTGAGCAGGGAGCCCCACGAGCCCCCGGCCCGGGGTAGACAGCCAGGGGTGCAAGCTGAGCCTGCGGCTGGGCTGTGAGGACCCCAGCAGGGGCCCGGGGGTCACTCACCCACAGCAAAGATGTCGACACCCAGGTCCTTGAGGACGCGGCCAGCGGCAGGGGCATCATCCTGGGACTTGCCGTCTGTCACTAGAATGACCACCGTGGCCGCCTCTGGACGGGGCCCCACTCCTGGCTTCAGGTTCTGCTCCAGCACATGTGTCAGGGCCAGGCCTTGGGCACAGCGAGGGTGAAGGGCGTGTGGCGCCAGCGCCCCTCCTGGGGAGCTGGTGCCCTCCCTGCCCGGTGCTCCCCACTGGCCGCTGACCCCAGCACAGTGCCCACCGAGTCAGTCCTGGCCCCTCCAGGCGGGGGGGGGGGGGGTCACCCAGAGGCAGAGATGAGACCCAGGTTCTGCCAGTGGGAGACGGAAGCCCACGTTTTCATCAAAGGTCAATAAGGAGACATTTGCCTTCTACAAAGGAGCACATCAGGCTCAGCACCCACATAGCTGGATTTACACGCAAGTTTCCATCTGGGAGGCTGACCCGCGGGACAGAGACCCAGAAACAGACCCTCAAGGGTGGGGTCTCTGGGGGCCCAGGCTGACCTGTGAACGTGTTTCCCCCTTTGTAGCGGAGGCTGCGGACAGCTGTCAGCACATCTTCCTTGGTGCCGAAGGTATTGAGATCCCACTCAGTCTGGGGGTCTCCACTGTACTGAGTCAGGCCTGCAGCAGGGGTGGGGCGGGTGAGCGGAGGCAGGTGTGCGTCTGCGAGCCGCCTGACCTATGCACAGCCTCACCAGGACGCCAGGGAGGCCCTGTGTTCCACAGAGAGGTCACCAGAACGTGCCCCCAAGGAGCCAGCTGTCCTGCCTGCCCCCATGGGGACCCCTGCCTGGGGGTCCCGCCTGCCCCTTTGGGGACCCCCTGCCTGGCCTGTCGGGTGACACTGACTGCTGGGGCTCTCCTTCTGTTTCTCCAGGAGGCTCTGGGTCTCCGCCCCGACTTCCAGCCCCTCAGAGCCGGGCATCCCCTGCGTGCTGGTAGATGGGGACGCTCACAGCGGGGGCGGGGGGGCAGGATGCAAGGTAGGCAGGGCCTGGTACCCACCAACTTGGACTTTATCAGGCCCGATGTCAAAGGGCTCGATGACACTGGCCAGGAAATCTTTGACCTGCTGGAAGTGGCTGTGGCCGATACTCCAGGACCCATCCACCAGGAAGATCATGTCCACAGGCATGGTGGGTGTGCAGCGGAACTGGGGGCTGGCTGGGCAGGGAGGGAGGGCGGGGAGGAAGGGCAGTGAGGAGCTGGGCGCAGCCCATACCCCACAGGCCCCCCCAGCTGCTCCAGGCTGGGTTTCAGCCCCCCAGGATCTCCTTCCCTGGGGCTGGGGGAGGGGGTGGGGCCATGGGGCTCTGGCCTCCAGTGAGGGGCCGACCGAGTCCCTGCGTGAATGCTGGTCCCTGTGTCAGCCCTCCGACTCCCCCCAGAGAGGGCTAATGAGGTCCCTGGGTGCTCCTGTGTGTGTTGTCCATGTGGGGGCCAGCGGGCAGAGGCTAGGCAAGGGGGTGCCCCCTGGGGGGGCTAGGGGTCAGCATGGCTGGCAGCCCCGGGCTGGTCTCACCGGCTTGTCCCATGTCTGGGTTGGGGGCTCCCTGAGAGCCCGCATGGACAGGCCCTCCAGGCTGAGCCCCACACCAGGACAGACCTCTCGTGAAGACTCCCGGGTAGGCCAAGCACAAGGAGACCCCCATCTAACGGGGGCACAGCCCTGCCTGCCCTGCGCTGGGTCACACGGGAGCCGGCGCCCCGGTTGTTTACCCGGCGGCTCTGTCTTGCCCTTGGAGGCCCTGGCGTGGTCTACGGTGGGCTGAGAAGGGGCCTTGCCCCCGGGGTCCCTGGGTGAGTGCCGCTCCTCGCCGAGCAGTCCTGGGGGAGGGCACAGCTGTGTCACCACTCATCTGCCACACACAGGCAGAAAGCAAGGTGCACTGGAGCCCAACGTACCCCCAGTGCGGACCTGTGCCCCGTGATCTGCGTGAGGCCAGGGCAGCAGCAGGCACACTCCAGGTCAAGATAGGGTGTGGGGTCCCGTGGGAGGAAGAGCCTGGGCCGCGTGAAGAGAAACTGGCAGAAGCAGAAGGTTGCTCCCTCCCCAGTGACTTACCCTTATCCTGCTCAGAGCCACCAGGAGTGGGTGGGTCTTGGCTTGGGGACAAGGCGACTGGGGGCTCGGGGGCTGGGCTCCCCACGTGGGCGGGCGTGGGCTCCAGGGCTGCCCCAGCTGGCCTCCGGCTGCTCCTGCTCACAGAGTGGCTCTTCAACTCCTCAACTGCAGAGAGGCGGCTGTCAGGATCCCCCAGGGTGGGAGCAGGGCGGGGGGGGAGGGGCTGCGTGGGGAGCCACAGCAGCAGCCAGAGCAAGGCTAGGGTGCAGCTCCTTCCCACACGCACCCGCTCGGCGGCTGCGCTCCACACCGGATGACGGACTTACTCACAAACTCCCTCTGTGCCAGTAGGGTGGTCCCAGAGCTGGTGAGCACGAAGATCTGTAGGGTGTAGCCCTTGGAGGGGCTCAGGCCCCCCACCGTGGCCTTGGGGGCCTTCGTGGTCAGCATGACGTCCTGCTCCGCGTCCCCTGGGGTGGGGAGAGAGATCGAGGCCCCCGAGGTGGGCCGGTGTGTGTTGGGGAGGGAGAAATTCCCTGCCCTGAGCACAGGGGTGGGACTGCGTGGCGCCGGCGCGCCTGTCAACACCTGCATAGTCTGAGGTGGAGGCTGTTTCAAGTATTGGAAACAAGTCCAGTCCCAAAGGGGACGTGGCCGTCTGCTCAGAGGCAAAGCTGGAGACACTGCAGCCGGGTGTCAGGGAGCAGCAGGTGCCTCCCCGCCTCAGGGGCCGGCGGGGTGGGGGGGGCCGGCCCCCTGCAGGTGGAGAGAAGGCCTACCCTGCCCTCCTGTGTGGCTGGCGGAGGCCCCGTGCTGGGGGTACCGTGGCTCTCAGGGAGCTCCAAGAGCCGCTGGTATAATTAAGAGCCACTTTCTCAGGCAGTCACTGTATGTGTGTCGCGTTCATCAAGCTGCATGATTTTTTTTTTTTTTAATTTATTTCTAGGAGAGAGAGAGAGACAGCGTGAGCAGAGGAGGGTCAGAGAGAAAGAGGGAGTCACAGACTGAAACAGGCTCCAGGCTCTGAGCTGGCAGTCAGCACAGAGCCCGATGCGGGGCTCGAACCCACGAACCGCGAGATCATGACCTGAGCCGAAGTCGGACGCTTAACCGACTGAGCCACCCAGGCGCCCCTAAGCTGCATGATTTTTAATTTTTTGAATGTTTACTTATTTTTGAGAAAGAGACAGAGTATGAGCAGGGGAGGGGCTGAGAGGGGGAGACACAGAATCTGAAGCAGGCTCCAGGCTCTGAGCTGTCAGCACAGGGCCTGACACGGGGCTCGAACTCACGAACGGTAAGATCATGACCTGAGCCGAAGTCGGCCACTTAACCAACTGAGCCACCCAGGCGCCCCTCAAGCTGCATGATTTTCACAAACCCACTGCCCCTACTTTGTAGGTGGGAAAACCGAGGCCTCAGGGACCAAGCAACACAGTTACTCCGTGGTGGAATCAGTATTTAATGCCGTCTGGCAGATCCTGAGCCCGCCTGCACAGATGTGTGATAAGCAATCAGTCGATGGTGGGATTCGTGTGTGTGTGTGTGTGTGTGTGTGTGTGTGTGCATGTGCACACGTGCACATGGACACACGGACACACACACTGCCCTGCTCTGGTGCCACACCACACAACACAGCCTGGGGATTCTGGACTCCTGGTTTCTTGGGGTCAGCTCTGCTCACACTCACCCCATCCCAGGGGCTGGCATTTCTCTCCTCCGAGCCCGCTCAGGTCCCCCCACCTGCCCCTCACCCCCACCCCCGCTGGCTAGGGAGCTGGCTTCACATAGCCAGGGCCTCACGCATACAGAGTCCTAATCCCATATCCCCACAAACTCTTACAGGCTTATCAGTTTTAGAAGAAGCCAAGCAGTTTTTAAAGGCAGAGCCCTGACCAGATCGCAGGCGAGCAGCTCTGATGCGTGAGCTCCGCCAGCGCGCTGGCTGAGGCTGCCTTTGTTCCCGGCTGTGCTGCAAGGTGCCTGCCCACCCCCCATCCACCCCAGCGCGCAGACCACGGGCTATGGCGCACTGGGCAGGCCACACGGCCCTCCCTCCGAGAGCTGGGAAAGCTGGGCGGAGGGCCTTTAAAGAAGCCGCTTGCTGAGAGCTGGCAAGGCGGGGAGAAGTGGCGAGGCCACGGTCGACACGCCGAGCAGGGGCGCAGCCACCGGGGCGCCTTACTCAGGGCTGCCTGGGGCTGCGCTACAGGAGTGCCGGCATTCACATGCTGACATCCTGCCCCCTAAGGCGACCGTGCTACGAGGTGAGGCCTCTGGGGGGTGAGTGGTCATGAAGGCCGGGCCCCCATGGTGGGGTCAGCGTCCCTCTGAAGAGGCCCCAGGAGCTTCCTTGCTCTCTATGGCGCGTGAGGAAGACACAGTGAGAAGACAGCCATCTGTAAACCAGGAAGCACGTCCTTACCGAGAACCCAGCCGTGCCAGCGTCCTGACCTCGGGTGTCCAGCCCCCCAAACCACAAGGACCAAGTGTTGTTTAGGCCGCCCAGTCTGTAGTCATTTGTCAGAAGAGCCTGAACGAGCAACGCAGGGTGCCTGGAGGAGAGGCCATGAGGCCCCGGGTCACAGGGGCTTGCGCGGCAAGAACAGGAGCTCCGGGCCCCGTGAGGAAGTGGATCCTCGGCACATGCCCCCTCTCCGATTTTTTGGGTTGAAACTGTAAAGATCTACCCTTAGGAGCAAAAGTCAATGGGAATAGACCAGGCCTTAAAAGGACGGAGGCCCAGCTTCAAATACTCTCAACTTCTAAAACTTAACAAAGATCACCCAAAATTGCTAGTTCCCATTGCCTCTGTCAGAAACAAACACAATTTTTTTCTGAAGGAAGACAATGTTACAGAAAGTCACAGATAATTTCTGTAAGTTTTCACAATGGCCGGCACTCGATGAAAAGTAACCAGGAGTACAAGGAACAAGAGGAAGCGACAGAAAATTAAGAGAAACAATAGACAATAGGGAGAGACCCACTGATTCTCTGGACGATGGAGTTATGGGGCTTTTAAATAATTATGCAAACTAGTTAGAAAATTTAGGGATAAGCCTATGAAGTTCAGTGTCAAACTAGAAACAGTAAAAAAGAAATCCGAATATAAAAACCAAATGGATATTTTCCAAATGGAAATTTTAGGATACAAAAGCAAAAACTTGAAGTTAGGAATTCTAAAAATGATTTAACAGCTTCTTACCCACAAACAAAGAGATAAACAGTGGAGTATAGGTCAGAACAAAAACAGAACATTAAGAAGGGAGAAACAAAGGAATTAAAATATAAAAGAAAGTAAGAGGCACAGATACAGGAGAGGGCCCACACGTGTGTAATGAGAATCCCACAAGGAGAAAGGAGAGGAAACAGGGCACAAATGGTATTTGAAGAGACTCAGCTGAAGAATTTTCCAGAACCGTACAACCGTAAGACCCAGACCCAACAAGCCCTGTGAATCTGAAGTGAGGTAAGAAGAGACCCATACCAAGAACATCAGCTTGAACGTGCTCAAAACTAAACAGAGGGAAAAACATAAGGCAGTCAGGAGGGAGGGGAGAGAGGACTCACGTCTCAGGGGCAACAGTCAGGCTGGAGCTCAAGGACAACAACAGAAGCCAGAAGACGGAAAAGGACTGTACAGAAAGAAAGTGCCCACTCCAAATTCTATACCCAGCAACAGTATCTTTCAAGAACAAAGAATGAAGACATTTTCAGGCAAACAACAAAAGCCCAGAGAATTTGCATCTGGCAGACCTGTACTATAGGAAACACCAAGGAGTATTTTCAGGCAGGGAAAAAAAAATCCCAGATTGGAAGACTCTGGAAGGAATAAAGAAAAGGGCTGTGTATGTGAGTTGGTCTAAATTAATGATGAACCAGTACAACTACAGTAATTAAATGTGTTTTGTGATTTAATATAGATACAGAATTAACGTGCATAGAAAGGGGATGAACACGGTCGTGATGATCAGAGGCCTTATCTCTACGTGGGGAAAGGTGGTGTAGTGGCCGCGTACAGGACGCGCTGACGAGTTAACGTGCTGGTGGTCACCTCCAGGGTGACTGCTACAAGAGTAAAGGATCCACAGCTCCCAAGATGATAGGGACACAGAATAGTAATGAACAGGGCTCAATAATCTCATACCTACTGATCAATCTTAACTTCACCAAAAAAGAGACACCAGACACTGTGTACTCCATTGGTGGCACAGCGGAAACTGCACAGAATCACTTATAAGGATTTCTGTCGACAAAATACAATCAAATCGGAATCTGACCAACTTCTGGGACAGAAGTGCCAGCCTATGGGAGATACGGGGAGAGAGGAACAGTCTACGCGGCACCATGGAGGTGCCGCCAGCAAAACAGAATGTCAGGTGTTCCACACGACAAGTGATCTTCTTTCTTCAACAAATAAATGTCAAAGAAAAGGGGAGAGAGGAAACAGTTGTAAAGTAAAGATACTTGAGACACAGGAGCCACATAGAATGTGTGGATTCTGTTGGGATACCAATGGAAAGTCAAGTATAAATAGTATTTATCAGACAAACTGGAAGATGAGAACACAACAAAATATTTAATGGCAGCTCTGAAATATTTTTACTGTTTAGGCATGCTAGTACTGGAGTTATTTCCGAGTCCTTCCTTTTAGAGAAAACTACTAACCTATTCATAGACAGGATTATATGATTACATGATGTCTTGCATTTGCTTTAAGATAACACAGTGTATAGAAGGAGTTGGAGAGAGATCACGCAATATTGGCCACAGATGGACAACTGTTGATGCTGCCATGGGAACATGAAGTTCATTATACTACGCTCTCTTCTTTTGCAGGTGTTTCATCTTTTCCATAAAAATTCAGTTTCACAGAGGACAAGGAGAGAAAAAATTATAACAAGTATAACAAAAGGTAAATAGGAAAATAAAGATTTAGACCCAAATACATCAGTAATTTCGTTAAATGTAAATGGAAAAAAGTCTCAGTTAAAAGGCAAAGATTGTCACGTTGGACAAAAACAGCACCAATTATGTGCTGCTTGGAAGGCGCATCTATGGTGACAGGTGACAGAAGCCTGAGTAGATGATGTAGTGCAGACAGCGCCTGGCGGAGCCGGCGGCTCTGGCGCAGACGGAAACCCGAGAGAGGTGCTGGGCGGCACTCCACAGCGAGATGGAGTCATTCCAGACTCACGTGCACCCCAACATACAAAGTCCGCTGAGACAAGCAGAGGACATTTCTACAACGAGCAGGGGGCTAAAGTGCTGCGCTCGGTGACTAATAAGGTAAGTAGACCAAAAGCAGTAACAAAAATAGAAAAGATTTGATAAATAGGATGAGCAAACTTGGCTTAATTAAAATATTAGAAAACTACCCCTAAGTCAGAAAGGGGGTTATTCTTGGGAGAGAGACAGGATGGAGACAGGGGAGGGGCCTGAGCGGGGCTGGGGGTGCCCCCTTCCCACTCTGGGGTGGGAGCGTGGGCTCATCACCTGGTGCCAGTTCCTGCAATTATACACTCATGTTTGGTGTCAAACCTCAATTTTTGAAAAGTTTTCAAGACCAGCAGCCGACATCACGCTGGGGGTGCTCTGTGGCTGTCCCTCTGCAGGGGTCTTGGCACCCCTCCTGTAAAATGTGGGTTAACACTGTCCATGAGGTTGGCATGCAGAATTCTGGGTGGGATCTAAGCTTGAGGACACACCCCTTGTTTCTTTGAGACACTGGCTGAGCTCCTTCTGATGTGCCAGATGTGGGGGGACAGCGGTGGGACCTTTGAGGGCCTTTCTCCAACCACACATTCCCCATCAGTGGGGCAGACACACGGGTGCGGGACGAAGGGCTGGGCACAGACCACACCGCTGGCCGCTGGCCCTCCTCCCAGGGGCGCCTTACCTGCCATGGGCTTCACCTGCACCAGGTAGCCAAGGCTGTTCCCCTCCGACTCCCACCACTTCATCTGCAACCGGTCTTCAGGCAGCACGGCCAGCCTCAGGCGGCTGCTCTCTGGGGAGACAGCACCCGGTGGTCAGGACTGACCCGAGGAGGCAGGCCTGGCCGGCTCTGCTGAACAGGCCGGGCCAGCATCCAGGGTCGGTGGGAATAGCCCCGTTGACAGTGTGGAGCCCACATGGCGGCGGCTGCCCTGGGGCCTGGAGCTGCCTGATTTCCCCACCAGAGTCCACACAGCCCTGGAGGGGAGGCGAGGCCATCCTGGGAAGAGAAGGGCAGTGGAGGACTGGGCCCTGGGACACAGCCTGGCCTCCCGGGGAAGCTTCTGGGAGCCCTGTGGCGGGGGTGGCTATTTTTGGAGAACAGGGACAGAGATGGGCCTCTTCTGGATGCCCCAGCCAAGAGCTGGGGTGTGGGGGGCAGGGCAGGGGTGGGGGGCGCCCAGGGCAGGCACAATGACCAGTGGTTCAGAGTGGGAAGCAGCTGGACTGGGCCCCCGGATGGGAGCACCAGGGAATGTCTGATGTGGCAGCTATAATAAGCCACTTGTGAGCGGGGACCCCCACCCCCACTCCTGCTCATGAAGAGCCCTCTGTCTTGCTGCGCTGCTCACTCCCTGCAGGAAGCATCCCAGCTGCCTCTGGGGTCTGCGTGTCAGGGGCCCCGGTCCCCTCAGCAGGGCCATCCTCGGGGCGGGCAGCCCAAACACATGGGCCCCCAGCCACCCTGCCCTCCTAGGGGCCAGGAGACCACCCATCGTACTGAATGAATCCCGACCTCAAGGTGTCTGTGGGCTCACGAGTGACTTGGCCCCACCAGGGACCCGGGCACGTGGCCGGCGGCAGTGCGGCAGCCGCCAGTGCGCAGCACCAGAACTATGGGGACGCGCCACAGAAGAGTGGCTGGCGGAGTCCACTTAGGTGTCGCCGCGTGGTGTGCCCCGCTGCCGCGACCGCGTCAACAGCAAGGAGAGGGCTCTTGACAGAGACCCTGAGTCAGACACAACGGGGCTTGGCAGTAATCCAGGCCGTGACGTGTGGCCTCTCCCCTCGCTCGACTCGGGGCGGGGGGGTCCCGCCTCGGCTGGGGGCACAGCCAGTGCGCTGGCGGCCAGAGTGGCCCTCCCAGGACCTGTTCACACCAGCACCCCCGCGGGGAGCTCGGCAAGGATGTCCGCCCAGCTCCTCAGCTTGGGGTGTCCCCAAACACATTCCTCCAGCTTGAAGAGTCCCCTGGCTGGCCACACGGGCGCCGTGCAGAGAGGCTGGGCCGCCCCGCGTTCTTCCTGTGCCTGAAAGTGCCAGAAGCAGGCAGCAGACAGACAGCAGAGAACGGTGCTGTCCTCCGGGGGGACAGGAAGAAGACGAGTTTTCACTCCCTACTCTGGATTTGCGCTGTCTGGAAACTTTACACTGAGGAGGGGTCCCAAATAACCCAAAATAAAACACGACTCTAAGAGAATTAGATGCAAAATGTGTGAATAACTGTGATAAAAACAAACTAAAAAACACACAACAGCATCCCCAAGCTAGGCTGAAAAATGGCAAGGCCGAAGGTCCCGCAAAAAGCGGAGCGCGTCACTCTGGGCAGAGGGGCACAGGTGGCCTCGGGGTCCGTCCTTCCTCGCTTGCAGCGTGGGACGGGGCTCCCGGGAGGGCAGAGGCAGAGGCTCCGGCAGTGGGGCCTGCGGCCTGGGCAGGTGTGGCCTGGGCTGGGGCTGGGCGCTGACTGGGGCCACGCTCCCAGGAAGCACCCCCCACCGCGTCCTTACCTCGTCCCTGGCTGAGTCCCACAGCAACAGCCAGCCACAGCCAGAGGCCGATCCCGAGGTGGGGGCACGCGAGGGCGCTCATGATGCACGGCCTGCGGGAGGAGAGGCCGTGGGCCATCTTCCGGCTGTCCATCCAGCCAACCCCTCCTGACCACCCCACACGCAGTGATCTGGGGACTGCCATACTTCACAGCCGCCCACGCCCTGCCCACAGCGGACCCGCGTCCTGCATGAGCCTCCTTTGTGAAGAGCTCAGCCGCCCTTCCCCTGCCCGCCCCAGATGCGCCTGGCCCAGTCACAGCGTCTGGGCCTGCATCCCATCCTCAGGACACTCTCACAGGCGGGCCTGGGGCCCTGACTGCTGGCCCGGTCACTCACTTGTTATTAGAACAGACTGCTGTCAGGCCCAAGGGGCCTGGGGAGGGAGCCGAGGCCAGGCAGGAGCAGCCGGTGGTGTCAGAGTGGGGAAGAGCACAACCCCAGGATCACACAGACGCCCCTCTGCCGGCCCCAGGACCAGCTTCTCAGGAAGTGCAGGTCCTTGGAGGTGGGGAAGGGGAGCCCTCCCGTCTGTGAGCTGCACACAGCCTGGGGGCTGCCTCTGCTGACAGTGCAGAGGGGACATACAGCACAGACTCGCAGCACCCCCCACCCAGTCCAGCCACACCCAGGGGCGGTGGTAGCCACGACGGTGTCACAGAACGGAGGAGGGCCAGAGAGCAGCGCACAGGCTGTCTGCACACTCCAGGCCCCGGGCCCTGCGTGATCCGCATCCTGAAGCCAGACCCCTCCGCTCCCCAGAAGCCTGGCTGGATCCAGTGGGACTGTGAACAGGACCTTCTGTAGAGTCTGCCCTCCCCGCCCCGGACTTGGTGAAAAGGCAAGACCGTCTGCACATCACAGACCCAACAGGCTGCTGGTGGCCCTCCTTGTCCACCCAGCCCCCAAGACCACAGGCGAGTCACCAACCTTCCCCCGGGTGCGGGTGGCATCGCTCGGTCCCCGTGCACTCGCATCCACTCCAGTCCTGCTGCGGCCACAGAGGCCAAGAGCTTATGAAGGCCCTTTTGCTCAGACGTCACTGCCCCTGCCCGCCCCCGCCCGCCCCCAGCCTCCTCCTCTCCCCAGGCTCTCCACCCTCCCCACCTACAGCCCCAGATGGGGGTAGAGTCCCAGCGTGTAGGACCCCATCACCGCAGGGCAGGGGTCCCACAGGGGTGGGGGAGGGTACACCAGCCAGACGCCTTTATCCCTCACTCCACAGGGTCTGCCCCCAAGCGGGGCTCACGGGGGAGGCACCTCAGGGACAAGGCCACCCCATGGGGCCCTGGGCACCAGGCTAGGGATGATGGGCATGGGTGCCTCTGGCAGGCTGGCAGGGCGGGGTGGAGGGCGGGCCAGCCAAGCACAGCTCCTCCCTTCCAGTGTGGACAGCCCAGGACCAGTGCTTGCGCAGGGACGCAGACCAGACCCCACCTCACCCCCGCCTCACGCGGGACCGTCCCCACCAGGTAGCTGACGGGTGAGCAGAGCCGACTAGCGGCCGCTCTCCGTCCAGCTTGCTGAGACAGAGGCACTTTGGGGGGGGGGGGCACAGCTTGGGGCTCCTGGGCGGGGAGGCCGTGGTCTGAGACCTGGTACGCACTGCAGGCTGGGAGCATTTGGGGGACGAAGGGCGGGGGCTAGATGCTTTGCGGGGGGGGGCCTCGCCCTACTTCATGGGGGCTCATCCTCTCCCTGAACTCCTGGCTACGGGGAGGACCCTGCAGGAGCCGGCCAGCACCACGGCCTCACGCCGGCTGCCCTGCTGGCCCCGAACCGGGGACACCGCAGGTGCTGGGGGCCTTGGTCCAGGAAAGCCAGGCAGCTGTGCCCCAGGCAGCTAAGTGCCCCTCTCCCCCGTCCCGACTGCAGGGTGGGCCCAGCTGCAGTCAGTACCCTGTGGCCAGGGCAGGCCTCCGACCCTGGGCCACACGGAGCTGACAGCCTGGGAACCACCTGTGCCTGAGGACCCAAGGCTGGACAGGACACTGCGGGGCTGAAGGCTATGGCCCCCTGGGAGCTGGCCCTGCTCGGTCCTGGGACCCACACCCTAGCCAAGCCCTGCACACCTCAGGGGGGCCCACAGCCGCGGACAACTGTGCCCTGAACCTACCATGTCTGTCCAGGGCTCATGGGCCCTCGGGACACATGTCTGCACTCACACACACCCCATCGAGGCGCGACCCTGCACACACACAAGCGGGTCAGCTCCTCAGTGCCCTTGGCTGGACCCTGTCCACCCCTCACCCACGTGCCTGCCCTGGAGTCCTGCGCAGGACTGTGACGCCCCTGAAGCCCCCCAAACCCGTGGGCAGTAGCCAGGGCAGCCCAGGGCCACTGAGAGAGGACAGGGCAGCACCAGATGCTGGCCCCCTGCTGAGCAGAGTCCTGTCCCCCGTCCAGAAACAGCACGGCAGCCAGCCTCCGGGCTGGCACGTCACCGCCATCATGGGCCCTCACTCCACACGCAGAGGTCTTCCTACAGTCCTGACCTCGGGGGGAACTGAGCCCTGACATCCGTCTTCAGCGGTGTGGGGGCCGGGCCACCCCCGACTGTATCCGGTGGGTCAGACGCAGCAGACACACCAGCGGGCAGGGCCCCCACCGCCTGGTCCCCCTGACCCAGACGGCCCCCGGGAAGGCCGCGGCTCCAGGTGTGAGGGGTCAGGAGGCACGGAGGCAGCTGAACTGCACAACCGCAAAGCAGTGCCTGTGACGCTGCCGGCCACGCGGGGGCCAGAGGGCGGTGAGCCGGGGCCCGGCCCCCACGCGCGCCTGCTCATCCATCCTAGCGCCTTCCCGGAGGCGTCTGCAGCGGACCGTGGAGCCAACCGGGCCTCAGCAGCCAGTGTCCTGCGGTGCCCGGTCGGCCTGGTGTCCTGTGCCGGTACCAGGGTGGGGGGCAGAGGGCAGCTCCACGGCCACAGGCCCCACCTCTCAGCAGGCTGGCCTGGGGGCAGAGAGGGCTGGCCACCAGCCCAGGTGGGGGAGGCCCACTGCGATTCAGCCGAGAACCGGCCCCAGGACTGCCCCACGTCCCCTCAGGGCCCGTGCCTCCTGGCTTCACCCAGACCTGCCTTCCCGCCTGGGCCCCACTGCCTTCTGCCCTGGACAGGATGGCGCACGGAACACCAGCCAGGAAGAAAGCTCCAGTTCTGGAAAGTCTGCTGGGCATCCCCTGGCTATGCCTCCCTCTGGCCCCATTTCCCGTAGGGGCTTCAAGATGAAGGCACAGACGGAGAGCAAGCAGCTTTAGGCCATTTCTACCTGCAGCCAGGTGCGCCGCCGTGGGCCCGGGTCCCAGGCTGACACCCACTGGAGACCTTCCTGCCCCCCCGCTCTGCAAGCACACACTGGAAGTGGCCTTTGGGGCTCTCACCCGGATCACTCTGCGTTCCCACGTGCCAGCGACCCCTGCACAGGAGAGCACCAGACCACCGCTCCCGCCCTCAGCCAGCAGGGCCGGCGGCCCCGGGACCCCCCCGCTGCACAGCACCAAGGGCATCAGCCTGTCACTGAGGGTCTTGGGCCACTGCACCCCAGCACCACAAGAGGCGTGAGGGGACGCCCTCTCTGGCGGGACACACCTAAAATCTGAACGCAGGTCTAACTACCGCACCTGGGGGGCGGGGACAGTCTCACTGCGGCAAACAGCCACATGAAGATCAGGAGGCGGGTGTGGGGACAGAGGAAGAACCACAGCTTCGGGTCACGTGTCAACGTGTCGGACTGGCGGGGGAAGAGCACCCCGTTAGTGCTAGGCCGTGACCACGGAGACGGGGGGCCACGTGGTAGCTGCCAGCCAGGTGGGCTCCGGGTGGACAAGGGGACACAAAGGGCCCCGCAGGCCAGGCTGCGGGAGGCCAGACACAGGCAGGACACTGCCGCGCGCACAGAACGTGCTGGCAGGGACAGGGCGCTGGCGGCCCAGCCCGATGAGAACCCCTGCTCGCTGCAGACCACCAGGGAGGCCCGGACACCCTGCTTCTGACCGTGGAGACAAACCCGGGCCAGGGCTGTGCTGCCCCTCGAGGCCCGGGAAGGGCAACGCAGCCCCCTGCCACGCACCCCCGGACGGGACGGCGCTGGCCTCCCTGCCGCTGCTCTCGCGCGCCTTCTCGGCCGTCTGGGCCACCCCAGGAGCGCGGCCCCCGGCCGGGGCTGGCGTACGTGGCCGCGCATGGAGGCCTGGACGAATGACATGGGAAAGACGCACAGGCGGTGACCGAAGGCCAGGAGGGTGAGGTGGGCAGACGGCAGCGCCAGCCCTGGCGTCCCCTCTGCGAAGCCGGGGCGGGTTCCCCGGCAGAAGCCCCTCCTAGAAGAGGCTTAGACTGAGGCGCTTCAGAGCAGGCACACCCCGCGTCACGACGCTGCACGGGCTGCGGAGTGGCCACTCGGGTTTATTAGAGAGGGCGCTACGGGAGCGATGGCGCCGCCTGCCTGCTGCGGGAGCGGGGACCCTGCCCTCCTCGCCGCCCGGCCACCACAGGAGGGCCAGAGCCCAAGGGAGCGGGCGGCACCGCCCGCGGCTCCCACGCGAGGAGCCATCTTCGTGCCACAGCCGGCCTCCTGGGTCGAACGGAAGGAACGTGAGGACGGGAGGGCCACGCGGCCGCGGGGGCCGGGGCGCAGCGCGGCCTACCAGCCCTGGTCGCCCCAGCCCTCGTCCACGGGCGCCGCCGGCGCCGCCGCCTTCCTGGCCTTGGCTCTGCCCTCCCCGCTGCCCCCCCAGGCCTCCCCGAGGTCGCTGTTGTCGCTGTTCCTGTTAGTAGACGCGGAGCCCGAGCCCCACACGTCCCAGCTGTCCGAGCTCCTCTTCTCGGCCGAGGCGTCCGCGCACGTCCAGCTGTCGCTGCTCGGGGACCTGTGGCCCCTGGCAGGGTCGGCGCTCCCGAAAGTCTCCCAGAAGCTCTGGTCGACAGTGTTCTGGGGGTTGTCCCCGCCGCTGCTCCGGTAGCTCTGGCCCTCCGGGGGCCTTGGGGGGAGAGAGGGAGGCTGAGGGCCGGGCGGAGCCGCCGGGCCCTCCCTGGCGTCCTCCCCGAGATGGGGCTCAGGGCCCGGAGCCAACGCCCACACCAAGCACGGGGCAGCTCTGCCTTGGAGCCGGGGGCGTGGAAACCTCTGGAAGGACTCAAGTGGGCCTCCTGCGGCCAGAACCCACTCAGTCAGTCCCACCCCCACAAGGAAGGTGTCCTGAAGCTAAGAGGTACAACGGGGACGTCCCCACGACCGAGGGAACGAGGAGACTGAGCGCTCGAGCCTCTCCCCACGGCCCAGGCAGAGGGCAGCACCACCGAGCCCCCGGTGCGGTCACACTGCCCGAACCTCCAGGCGGCGTCCGGAACACGTGCGGGGCGTGTTCTCCGCAGCCGGGCCCGAGCAGATGGTGAGTGAGGGGACAGCGTCCACCCACTGCACCCGACGCCGTGCGCCAGGGCTCAGCGCCCACCTCCAGGCGGAGCCTCTGCGCCTGTCCCTCGGGGGCCCGGCTGCAGCCGCACTGCCCGCAGGGGCCACATCAGGAGGTCGGGCTTCCAGCCGGCCTTCCTGTGCCCCTAGAGTTCTGGGGGCGATGTGCACCCCCCCAAGATCTTGCAGGAAGACACCCAGGGGAAAGGGGCCCCTGCCTTCAAGACGGGGGACGGGGGAAGCAGCGCACCTGTCCGAGGGCTCCTCTGCTCTCCCAGAGAAAAAGGTGGTGACGTCCCGCCAGCCCCTACTGCCAGCGCCCTGGACCTGGGAGGGACGGAAGAAGCAGGTGAGCAGGGGTCCTCGGCCTTTCCCTCCAAGTCCCCGAGAGGCTCAGAGCAAGCGGCATGCCAGGGCTCGGGCCCCGCAGTCCCACACATGCCCCCAGGGACGCCCGCGGGCAGACTCCCCAGTGCTCAGCAGCTCCAGGAGACGGCGAGCGGGCGAAGGCCCCTGCGGGCCCCCGGGAGAGTCAAGGAGATGGGCACTCACCAGGGAAAGGGCAGCGGCAGCGAAAGGGCAGAAGAAAAAGAAGCAACGGGTCAGTGGGCGGGACAGAAGCCGCGTCCGGCTGTCTCCACAGTCCGTGGCGGCCGGCACCGCAGCGCCCATCTGACGCTCCTCCGGCGCCAGCGGGCACTCAGCCCCTTCCACACTCAGTGCTGGCTGCCCTGGACTGTGGAGACTGGCTTCTGGCGGCGCCCAGCGGGGCCTGCCCTACCTTGGATGCCAACTGAGAGACCCCACTGGATACATCATCAAAAATCTTTCCCTCCTTCACCTGCGTGGGTTAAAACAGCACTTTTAATGGAGCGGCAGGAGCCGCACGGTCGCCCATTTCTGACAAAGGACCGATGCAAACTGAAGGGCACTGTGGCAGCAGCTGCGTGTGACCCTATCTCGCCCCTGGGTGGCCCCCTCCCCAGACATGAGGGCACCAGGGCCGCCAACTCCAGCCCGGGCTGGTTTAATGCAGCGCCCTCCTCGGGTTGGGGTGGGGGGGTGGCGCTGTGTCACCCGCAACCTCCTGAAGACAGGCCGACACTGCCTCCGAAGTTCCCAGCCCACGAGAGCTTCCCACGGTCAGGCGGGTCCCCACAGGAGGGCAGTACTCGCGCCCCGAGGACCAGAGTCAGAGCTGCGGGACGAAGCCCCCCTGGACAAGGGCCTACTGGGGGTGGGGGGTACGCACTCGGCCAGGGGCCCATTACCTTCTCCTGGGCGGGTTTGAGGACGTTCTCATTCAGACTGTGGCCCAGCTCCGAGGCCTGTAAGAACGGGGGGGGGGAGTCTGGTGAGCTCCCCCGGCAGCACGCCGCCCGGGGCACAGGTCGGCACGGTGGCCACAAGCCTCGGGACAGAGGGCAGGCGGGAGATGGCCCGGCAGCACACAGACGCCGCCTGCTCCTGGCAGCTGCGGCATGCTGGCTGTGGGGTCCCCAGAGACCACTGCCCCCCACGCCCCGCGCCAGAGGGGAGAGGCTCAGAGGGGTGGTAAGTCCTCAGGAGTCCGCCCCAGCCGGTGGCCGCACGGTGTTCCCTCCGGAGGCCCCGAATCCTGGCCCGTGAAGACCACCGGCATGCTGGCTGCGGGTCCCCCGCTGCCCTCTCCACTGGGACGCAGGCAGGCCCACCCAGTCACCAGAGGGGATGTAACCCCACCTGGCCTGCAGAGGGCACGTGGCTCAGAGGAGGGGGCGGAGCCAGAGGAGCCAAGGCGGGCGGCAGGCAGGGGCGGCAGGCAGGGGCAGCGGGGCGGGGCAGAGGCGGCCTCGCGCACAGAGCAGCCACGGGGGTGTAGCAACCCCGCCGCCAGGATTCGCTCCTTCCAGTGACTTGGCGGGAAATGAAGATCCTGCCAAGCAGCGCCTGGCGCCCCGGCAGCAGCAGCGTCCCTGGTTCCGGACTCTGGAGGCCACACAAGGCCAGACAGGCCCAGCGGGCTGGCGAGCAGCGCCCAGGGCACACACAGGTAAGCGAGGACACGGGGCCGGCCAGGACAGCTCAGGGCAAAGCAGGTGATAAGCACAGATTGGGGGGGGGGGGGGGCAGGGGGGGGGGGGGGGGCATGCACGAGACAGACTCGGGCCTTACCGGCTCTGACTGCTGCTTGGAGCCCCAGAACTTTACCCAGACAGCAAGGGAGCGGGTTGGGGGGCGGGGGCGGTGGGGGATAGAGAGAGAGAGAGAGAGAACGCGCGCGGGCGGAAGGAGCATTTGGCATCAACTAGGAAGCACATCCAGACATGTTAATAGCCTCGTGTTCTCACGGCATCACCCCAGCAGGTACCCCAAAAGTGACTTCAAGTGCCCGCTTATTGCCACCAGACCTCACTGCTTTCCACTCCCAACACGCAACTCGCGGAACCCCAGAAGCAAGCGAGTCAGGAGCCCGGGAGGGGGCTGGGTGAGCAGTCACCCTCAGGCAGACCCGCCTGAAAGGCCACCACCCTCCCACTGGGACCGCCTCTGGGACTACTGCCCTTGTGCAGTGCTGACCCCCAGCGTTGGAGACGGGCGGCCCGGAGCTCCAGCACCCCCTGGGGACTGCGAGGGCTACCAACCAAATCTGAAGGGCAAGGGCAAGGGCAAGGCCCAAGGCCCCCAAACCACCACCCATGAACGAGAGAAGGCACTCACCGGGGAAGGAGGAGGGCTGTTTCCGCAGAACCCAGATCCACCACCCCAGCCTGCGTGCGGCCACCCCCCCACAACGCCCAGCTTCCCTCCACCAACCGCGCGGGGCCCCTGGCTGTGCAGGGGTCTGCAGGGCAGAGGGGGCGCAGACCCCACGCAGATGCAGCTTCTTACCCCATCTGCACATGGACGTGGGAGCCCGGGCTAAGAGCCCATGAGCACAAGCCCTGCAATCTGAGGGGCACATGGAATCGTCCCCTCCCCCAAGCACGTGGCCCAAGGAGGGCAGACTAGGCAGCATCCAAACACCGACAGGACGTCAAACTAGGAATTTTAACAGCGCAGCACAGAAGCTTCCTTTGTTACCTTCTGACTTGCCTGCGATCCAAATTTCGTTGCCTGAAAAGAAAAATGGACACAGCTGTGGATCTGCTGTCCTGACGCCAGACCTCAGGGCTCATAGTTCAGGCCTAAGCCTGTCTCCTGGCAGCCACCCACTGGGGCACGGGGCCAGCTCCCTGCTGGAGGGGGGCCATCAGGGGAGGGACACCCACACAGCACACGGGCCCAGGGAGCAGGCCCTCCGGTAGGCGGCGGCCACCCCAGTCTCGTCACCTAGGGGCTTTCCCATGGCCCGGACCACGGCTGCCTACTTGGCACCCAGGGCAGGGAGTCACATAGCTGCACCCCCAACCACTAAGGAAGACACCAGCTGAAAGGCACCCGCACCCCTGTGCTGCGTCCTCCAGAGACAAGGCCGCGGAAACCACCAGCAGAGGCCGAAGCGCCAGGGCAACAGGGCCTGGGACCCTCAATGCTGAGTCCCTCCCAGGCAGGGCGGGCCGGATGCAGAGCACAGTGGCCCATGGGGACCACTGACAAGTGTCCACTGGACTTCAGTCCAGAGCCTGCCTGGGGCTCTCCCTTCTCGGGGTCACCCTCCGCAGCACGGCCGCACTGGCCGGGGAACCTGCTGGACCCCACCCACAGCCTCCCCTCCAGGCTGACACCCCCAGAGAGGTTTCTGGGCTGTTCCTGAGCACATGCCCACTCTCCACGTGTCCTGACAAGATCCCCAAATGTGTCACTTGGGCAGAGGAGCAGACGAGGCTGAGGAAAGTCGGCCTGCACAAACTCCGCTGTGCCCAGCAGCAGAAACCGAAGGCTGGCAGGGCCACTCAGCCTGCAGGGGTCACACGTGCCCCCACCTCAAGACGGCACGGTCTCTTCTAGAGCCGCTGGCCCTCTGTAAACAGCGCCTCCCTGACACAGAGCAGAGAACAGTGTGTCCCTGAGGTCTGCCGGGGCCTCAGGGGTCCGGGCCAATGGCGCACGGCCTGGGCCCGGCGGGGAGCCCTGGGCCTGGGAATGCCCTCCCACCGCCGCCAGTTAGAGCCCCTTCAAACCCTTCTGCACTCCCAGAGCCCAGAGCGGCACAGCCTGCGGGGTCCCAAGGGCTACTCACACCCTCCTTGGCAGCCGAGGCAAACTTGCTGGCTCCAGTGGTGAAACTGCTCCAGCCCTGAAAGGAGAGGCTGCGGTTAGGGTCCGCCTGGCGGCGCCCCCATCAGCCATGCCGTCCACCTCTCAGCAGAGGAGCTGACCAGGAAGGCCGCCCCCACAGGGCCCGTCCGTCAGGTTGCAGCCCCACCTCCACGAAGAACGGGGGTTCCTGCCGTGGGCACACCTGGACGCCACGCACTGGACGGTGCCCGGGTCCCTGCAGCGCTGCCGGGGCCCTGACCGCCCAGACCTGCGTCTCGAGCAAGCGCCTGTGCTTTCCTTTGCTCTCCGCCCCATCAGGTCCCCTCAAAGGGGCAGAGGCCCAGCACCCGGTCTGCAAACAGACCTGTTCTCTTTGTCTGAATTCGAGGCTTCCCCCTGAACCTCCAAAACCAACTGAAGCTACTTAAAAATACAAACGTCTCACTTGAACCTCAAACTACCAACAGCCTCTCCCCCCGAAAGGAGGAGACAAACGAGTTCAGCTTCTTGTGTGCGAACTAAAACGCAGGCAGAGGGGACGTGGAAACGCCAACGTGCCCTGTGCGGGCGGGAGGCTGTGTCTTCGCAGAGGAACCCTGGAGGCGTGCCTTTCGGCCCCAGAGCAGCGACCTCGGCTGCCTGGTGGCCCGGGAGGCCTTCGCCACGCTGCCACAGCTCGGGGCTCTGGGCACACCGTAACTTCTGAGAAGGTCCGTCCCTCTTGGGAACGACACATATTTGCAGTTGACGGGGCGGCGTGCAGGGGCACCAGGCAAAGCTGCCGCCGCACCGAGGACTTGGGACCCTAAAGGGACGGCTGGAACGTGGCCGGCCACCCGTGGGCCTTTCTGTGCCTCCTGCCACACACGCTCAGCAAGGACGGTCCCAGTTTGCAGCTGTCACGTGTGACAGCACTGCGTCCCCCAGTGCCCGAGGAACCTGTCCTGACAGCATGAACGATGTCTCCGATGACACGCTGCCGTCAGCCGCCCTGGCCACAGCCCCGGGGGCTCGCAGCACAAGAGACCTGCTGCGATGACTGAAAAGCGTCTAGAAACACAGTAAGTTTCCCTGGAAAATGATGGTTGGCCCTGAAGGGGCTGAGGGCAGGCAGAGACAAGAGCTCGGGGCAGCGGGCACACTTCCGAGGAAGCCGGAGCCCACAGGGCTGGGCTGCCCCGTGCCCAGCGCGCTGCCAGGACGAGGCGGGGAGGGCACCACACAGGAAGTCGTGCTCTGAGGAAACACGCCTGGTTAACTGGAAACGAGTATCCCGTAGTCACAGCGAGGAAAGCTCTCCACGCGTGGGGACCTGAACGCACCACCCGGATGAACCTGGCTGTACAGAAAACCAGTGAAGGAAGGGGCGAGGCCTCCCGGAGACAGCGGGCCAAGGGTCCCCAGGGCAGGACGCGGTCCTCACCGAGCACAGGGACGACACAGCGCTGCTGAGGAAGTCGTCTTCCCTCTTCGGAGGCGGCACCGTGTTCCCAAACCCGACGTAGCGGTTCTCCTGGGCCCTGACAGGGAGACAGCCGTAGCCCACCGCTCTCAACAGTCTCCGGACAAGAGGTGCCCAGATCCCAGACAGAGGCGGGGGGACCCCGGAGGACGTGTGTCTGCAGCAAGGGGGCCCGTGGGGCAGGCTGTCCTCTGCTCGCTGAAAAAGACCCTCTGGCTGCATTCAGCCAGGGACCCTGGCCAGACCCACGCCAACAGCTGGTTTCAGCAAGAAGCGTTGAAACGATTTAATCCGATGGCTCCAGCGACAAAAACTCGTTTACCAATCAGGCTGTATTCTTTCTTCTTTCTAAACAGTAAGCTCTCTCTCCACTCAGAACTGCCCAGAACAGCCGCGGTCAGGACCTGGGACCGCGTGCGGACTCTGCACACAGATGGCAACAGGCCCAGCCCACGGCCAGAGGACAGTCCTGCCCCGAGGGACCCTACCCAGAGTCGTCCGGCCACCAAACCCCCTGCTGCCCGCGGACTCACCCCTGATAGGAGCCAAGGTCGCCATTCAGCCAGTCTTCAAACGCCTTGTCTGAGGAGCCAGTCGAGGTCTGTGGGTGGCCAGAGGCTCTGAAAAGGGAGAGTCAACGGTCAGTGAGGCCCAGAAAGACCGGGCAGCTGCCCGAGAGAAGCACGCAGGTGTCCGGGAGGTGCTGTCTCTGCACCGGGTCACACTGGGCTAAGAGGAGCAGCTGAGGCCAGCTGGCCTCCAGCCCTGTCCCAAAAGCGGCTCAGGCCGGGTGGCCGAAGCCGGCGACAGGCAAGCAGACACACTCTAGCCCCAGACAGGGTCGCAAAGGGACCCTGACAGCAGCTCTACGCCTGCCCATACTGGCAGGGAGGAGGCTCAGAGGCTGGGAGACAGAGGCTGAAGCAGGTACACCAGCCGTGGTCTGGGGACCTTGCGGGGGGCGGGGGGGGAAGGGGCACTGGACGCCCACATGCAAACAGGGAGCCTTCTCTAGACCGGTCACCCCAGATCCACCGCCTGGGCCATGCAGGACACAGGATGCACCACAGGACCAGCCTGACCATAGCACAGCTGCACCCTGGGGACGCGGGCCACCCTCCGAGAGGATAAAGGACGAGAGCACCAACTAGGCCGCTTCCCAGAGAAGCACACGTGTCATGGGCACCCATCTGGAAGGGCCTGCACTGGACACAGCCTTGAGAAACGGGAAGAACCACCTTCTACCTTAGGCACAACTTTATCGCTTACGCCTCTACTGAAAGCCTGCACTGCTTCAGCAACCCCCAGGTTCGCTCTCCCGCTGACTTTTGGGAGCTTCTCACAACATTACAACAGTGTGGGGATCCTGAGCTATGGCCAAGTTCAGGGCCAGGCCAAAAACAGCGCGGAGCCAGACAAGAGGCCAGAGGAGTAGCTACCGGTGGGCAGTGGACGCCAGCGCCTTAGGCTGGGGGGGGGTCCAGTTCTGGGCAGGCGAGGACTCTAGAGACCATTCTCTGCCTTCAGCCAGGGTGGCCACCTGCCAAGGGGACACTGGGATTAGAGAGCCTGGGACTGTCGGGAGAGACCGGCTTCGAAATCTGCCCCAGCGTATCCTGCTCCCAGGCCCTCCGGGGCTCAGCGGCCGTGGGCTGGGGTCACTCTGCCACACGTCAACAGCGAGACTAACTGGGACCATGCTGACGGCAGCGAACAGTGCTGCTGGCGGGCCCTCGGTCAGCAGCTCCAAGCCCAAGCGACCTGCTTCCTTCAGCAGGCGTGGCCGGCCCCGGGGCTGCCGGGCCACCACGTACAGGTGAGGGGACAGGCCTCTCCCCCAGAGGGCGGGAGGAAGGCCCATCCCTCACCCCCCGCCCCCCGCGTGGGCTGAGGCGGCCCTCGGGTCCCGCCCGCAGGAGAGCGCCCGGCTGGCCAGCCGCCCCACCTTGTCCCGGAAGAGGGCCGCGGCCCTGCTGCTGTACTTCTCCTGCAGGGACCAGCACGGCTCATAGTCCTCCTGCGACTCCAGGAACTCTCGGAACTTAGCATTCCCGCCAACTTTCATCTTCTCGAGCTCCACATCCTTCCACTTGTCCATGGTGACAGAGCGCACGAAGCTGGAAACCAGGGCACAATCTAGTTAGCAGCACCGGGTATCCAAGAGCCCCCTCCTTGACCCCAAACAGGGCGTGAGCGTGACATTCATGCTTTCCCATGATGGAAGGCCTGGCCGAGGTACCTCCGAGGGCGCAAAGAACCGCCAAGGTGGCAAATGTTAGCCCGTCACCCCGCACCCAACAGTGGGACTGTGGCTGAGGATCCCCGTGAAGCCTGGGACGCGGGGGGAGCAGGGCACTGACCTGAGGTGCACCCCGAGCCCACGGTGTTTCCCTGAGCACTCCAGGCAGATCCAGATGCCATAGGTCACACTCACCCACTGAGGGTTGAATGCTCCACACTCAAAACACACCTGCAGACAGGGCCACATGCAACTCACCCAGGTATTCGGGTCAGGGCCCAGGGACCCCAAGGGCCCAACAGGTGCCCCTAAGAGGGAGCAGAGGAGAGGCTGACGCCTGGGTGGCTCAGTCGCTTGAGCGTCCGACTTCAGCTCAGGTCATGATCTCCTGGGTTCGGGCCCCGCATCGGGCTCTGTGCTGACAGCTCGGAACCTGGACCCTGCTTTAGATTCTGTGTCTCCCTCTCTCTCTGACCCTCCCCCGCTCATGCTCTGTTTCTTTCTCTCTCAATAATAAATTAAAAAAAAAAAAAAAAAAAAAAGACCAACAGCAACAGGGAGAGCTCTGAAACTACAAGCTGCTTCCGAGAGGTTTGCTAACCCTCAAAGCACCAAGGCAAAGGAGACGCTCACATTGTTTTCATCCTGCACTCTGACTTCTTTGAGAACTTTCCTGGTTCTTGGGCTGGCCATGGTGCTGAAAGAAGAAAAACAAACTTTTAAAACTTACAAACAGGCTGTTTTACAAGAAAACCAATTAATGCAAAGACACTGTAACACTCAGCTTCAGAGAAATCCCGCTACGCTGCGCGGAAGCTACAGGGCAACACTGCTGCTCACTGCAGGCAGCACTGGGGCCACCTGCACGACGGCATCTGTCGTCCACGCTCTTAAGGGAAACCTGCAGCAGTCCGTGTGCTCCCAGGCCAGAGGCTACGCGATCATAAGAACATAATTATTGGCCTCCGCTTTGCTCAAGTATCATGTACCACCAAGACTGCACAACCTATAGAACGTCCCGTCTTGAGATAGTCCCTATCGAGGGGTGGTCTTTACAAAACGTGCACAGGCTGGCTGCTAAATCTGACTGCCTGCCCGAAGGCCAGCGCACCAGACTTGGGCCAATAACCACAGAAGACGGGAGTCCCGGGTTCTCTGCACCTCCCGCTCCCCAGCCTGGAGTGTGGGGCAGGGGTGGGAGCCCTAACTGATGTGTGGAGAGGCTGGCCTGTGGGGGGGGTCTACAGGCAAGTCCTCTGTGGGGCCATCGTGATGGACGTGACAGGTGGCATGCTTCATGGGGACACTGCTGGGAACAAGAGCCACATAACTCAGGCTCAAGAGAAGAACCACTTCTGACTTTACAATTCCCTAGCTTTGACAAAGTTCAAGTTCAACCCCTGGCTGACTGAATTCACGAGCAGGACAACGACACAGTAAGATTCGAGCCGGGAGCCGGCATTAGTGCTGGACATAAAACACTACGGTCCTGCACACACCACCGTCACCCGCCTCTCCGCAGCCTGGCCAGCTTCGCTGCTGACCGTGTGGCTGCCGCCTTCTATCAACGTGCAGCTTACAACACAATCCAGAACGTTCTCTGCCCTGTACCTCGCCTTTAACCTTAGCACACAGAAATAAGTCACGGACAAGAACCCCAACTCTCCACACAACCAAACTTTCTAAATCTGGAAGGCCACAAATTCGACGTTCACCAGTGCCCACTCTGAGGCTCGTTGAAGAAAGAAATGAATGGTCGTTCCCTATTTCCTATCGTTGACGGAAGCAAAACCCAGAGTTCACCCAAGGTTCCTCTGTGCTCTGCGGCTTTCTGTGCTGTGTGTCACAATCAAAAGCATCAGATCTGGAGGGCAAATACCTGAATCCATAATCTGGACCAGATTCACTTAAATGGGTACTTCAGTCACACTGAGCACCTAGGCCACAGCACGGCACAGACAGGTAAGGGCAGACACATAAGCACACGCACTTGAAGAGAGACAGCCTGCCGGGTCTGAGTTCACAAAGCCCCTCTGCACACATCTGTCTGTCTCCTGGCGGCCACCAGGGAAGCCCATGCAGGCTGGGGTGCGGGGCTGACATGCATCCCTGCCCAATCAGGTCTCCATACTGAGCCTTGTGCTCTCTCCAGAGGACTGTGCCTTCCCTCAGGGGTTCACATTCTGGTCAAGAGGGCATAGGCAAACAAAAGCGAGAACGGGACTGAACGTGCTCTGAATTGTAATTGTGTAAAATAAAATTAGGCAAAGCAAATGTTTGCAGAACTAGTAGAAAGGTAACAAGCAGAACGTAAAAGACTTGACTTGGGTTTAAAAGGAACTCCCCTTGGTGACCCGATTGGAGGCGAGCACCCTTTAACCCTCTGAAATGCTAACTCTGATAGGTAAAAACACCTCCTAACTTTCAAAACTGTAAATACAGTTTGTCCTGAAAAATAACCCAAGACCTCGTCAACGCCTGAAATCAAGATGGTAAAACGTAGCTTTCTGCAAGTGGACATAACTTCAGTAAACGTTTAACCAAATGAGGGCGCTTTCTCTGGGTTTGTCAGGTAAGCCATTTGCTGACTGGCAAAGCTGAGTCCTTCAGCGGGGACTTTCTCCACATCTGCCGTTACAAGGGATGGCTGAGGACGCGGTGCTCGGGCCCCAGGGCGGCTACACAGGTGACCGGGAGAAACAGAAAGCGCCGGAAGCAGCCAAGTGGAAGCAAAGACGATCTCTGAACCCCGGCCGGTAACGTCAGAGGTAAGCACCCCCGGGGCCGCCGTCACCGGCCGCTCCCGCACGACCCTAACCAGAACGTGGCAGAAGTGCTGCGCCCGCACTTGGCGGGCACGACTACTCCCTGACACGGGCCGTTCACCGGGGCAGACAGGACGCTTCCGCTTCTACCTAAATCCACGCGAACCGAAAACGGACGGGCTGCTTCTCCCTCCCCGCGGGGGTCGTCCACGGCCAAGGGGCGGGAGCACGGGTGGCAAAGGGAGACCCGCCTGCCCGCCCCGCAGCGCCGGACCCCCACCCCCACCCGCTGGACGGCACCCGTACTTGCCCAGGTGGAAGGCGCCCAGTCCCCAGCCCCGGCCCGACTGGGCGCCCGTCCCGGCCGGCGCCAGCGCCCGAGGGAGGGAAGGCACGGGCCGCGCCGGGGGCCGCGGCTGCGGGAGGGGCCCAGCCCCCGAAGTGGGGGCGGCGGGCCGGGGGCGCCCGCCGAAGAGGGCCGGGGAGCGAGCGCCGGGCGCGTCGGGCCACGCGCTTACCGGGCGGGGTCCGGGCTCGGTCGTGCGCGCCGGGGTCGACGGGGGTCGACGGGGGTCGACCGGGCTCGGGCGCGCCGCAAGCTGCTCCGAGGACGCGCGCCGGCCGCCCACCCCGTCGCCACCAGCTTCCGGCTACGTTGCGCCTCTCAAGGCATCACGGGAAGCCGGGGGGCGGGCGCGCTGGGCCGGACTTCCGCCTCCGCCCGCAGGCCCGGGCAAGGCTCCGCCCCTGTCGCCATGGGGACGCGGCGCGGCCCGGGTGGGGCAGCTGAGCGTCCCGAGCGGGCCGGTCGCCCGCCCTCCCGCACGGCGGGCCCGGGAACCGCGTTCCCGCCCGCTCTCGTCGGGACGATTCTGGGAGGGTTCCGGGACAGCTTCCTCAGCGCGGCCGACGGGGAAGCCGCGGCGGGGGCGGGCGGGCGGCGGGGGCACGCGGGCCCCGGGGACGCCGAGCTCCGGACCCCGCCCTCCGTCGGCCGGGCCCACCCGGAAGCCTCGGGCCCGAGCCCTTCGCGGCGGTCCGACGCGGCCGCGGGCGGGCGCGCGGGTCCTGAGCAGGTGCCGATGCGGCTGCAGCAAAGACAACCCTGAAAAGAGACTGGGGGGGGGGGGGGGGGGGGATTGCAAGCGATTTTTTATTTGGTTTGTACTTGCTCCTTTCTGTGCATGTTGTGCTCTTTGTGCATATGCTTTATCCCTGTAACTGTTGGAATGACCACGTGCAAACATCGTCAGTGAGGTATAATGTGCAGTCAGTAACGGGTGCAGTTGAACCACTTGACGAGTGCATACCCCAGTGTAACCTCCACGGTCGGTTAAATCAGTTATGGAACATTCCCACCCAGGAAACCACTGTTTGCATTTCATCCTCACACCAGAGTTTCATCCGTCCCAGATTCTGTGTAAACACAGCCATGCGGTAAGTACGTTTCAAATGGCTTCTTTCAGTTAACATGTTTTGAGGGCCCACCCATGTAGTCGTGCGGGTCTGCCTCAGGGGTTTCATACGAGTGGGACCCGTCCATTCGTGATCTGCCGTGTCTGGTATGATGCCTTCAGCGTCATCCATGCTGTAGCTGTGTCAGCACTTCCTGCCTTTTTATTACTGAAGAATATTCCACTAAATGCAATAGCGGGGCGCCTGGGTGGCTTAGTTCAGGGTCAGACTCTTGATTTTGGCTCAGGTCATGATCTCACAGTTCGTGAGACTGAGCCCCGCATGGGTTCAGGCTCTGGACATCGAGCCTGCTGAAGATTCTCTCTCTTCCTCTACCCCCCCGCCTCAAAAAAATGCAGTATCAGTTTGTTTATCCATTCACATATTCGACACCAGAGTCATTTAAAATTTTTTGATATTATGAATAAAACTGCCTCATTCATGCACAAGTTTTTTCTGAAGGCATATTTTTAAATTTATCTTGTTTAACCTAGAAGCAAAATTGCGGAGGATGGGTGGGTATACTTTGAACTTTATGTGAAATTGCCCAGTAGTCTTCCAAAGTGGTCGTGCCATTTTGTACTTCCACCTGCAGTAGAAGAGTTCCACATCTTTGTTAATGTTGTGCCCGATTCGCGAGTCCCTGAGACCCCCAAGGAGCTGACACCGATGCAAGTACAAAAGCGTCTTTATTACAAGCTGGAGCAGGGGCTCACCCGCCTACCGGTGTCATGGCAGAAGGTGACGCCCCGAACAATAGCGAGCAGGGTTTTTAAGAGGTAAGGGACGGGGGTGTTACAGTACGTGTAGCGCCATCACATAAGCACCAATGACAATTGTACGGCAGCACCCATGGTAACAGCTTTGACCATTCAGTATCTGTGAGGTGTTCGTTACTTTTGGTGGGACCCAATCATGACTTTTGAGAATCCTTTGAAAAAGACCAATTATGAGGTGAGTTCAAAGGGCCCTCATGGGGTTCAGGCAAGCGGCGAGCAATTGGCTAGTTTGCACAGAGTAACTGTCTACAGTTCCCAGCCCTGACTCAGACCACAGGGATGTTTTTTTGATTAGCTGACCTGAGGGCGGTCCGAGGATGGCTTCAGCCTTGAGCAGTCTGAGGAACTGGGGCTCCATGCAGCCCGAGGTTGCTCTTAATGGAGGCCTTAATCTCAAAATGATGTTACTTAGGCTCTTCATTAACACTTGGGATAGTCAGTCCTCACACTGCAGCCATTCTAGGGGGCACACAGTGGGGTTTCCCTCTGCTGTCAGCTGAGAGCTACTGTGGGTGCTTAGATCAACTTTCCAGAACCGCCAGCCTGCCTTGCGATGGCAGAGCAGGAGCACCCTCCCACAGCTGCAGGAAGCCCTCAGGGAGGAGCCACTGGCATTCACGGGAATAATGGTACCAGCAGGGTCTACATGGCGGCACTATGAGCCTGGGTCGCAGCACAAGAGGCTGTGGCTGAAACTGTAGGCTCCATGAGTTCAGAGAGTGAGAGCCGCGGGCCATATTAGTTACAGTGGGCTCCTTGGAGGAGGTGGGCTGGGAAGGGTGAGCAGCTGTTGAAAAGGAAGAGAGGAACAGGGAAGGCACTCCTGGGCAGGCCAGAACAGGGGCCGTCATTGGCACCAGCTAGCCCAGACAACCAGCAGAGGCTTCCTGCTTCCAAGCACAGGGCAAACCTACTGCCTCATGGCATCCGGACACGTTTCGCTGCTTTCTGTGATCTCAAGGCTCTCACAGCGTCTAAATAGCAGGAGAAAGCGCTCATTGACAACAGCAGAATCTGGGCAATAAAGTGGTGAATGGTGCAGCATGTATAGCTACAAAGGGAAAATGTTTTATTACAACGTCTGAGGTATTTAGATAATTTGTTTCTTTTTGAGAGCCACGGGCAGTCCACTAATTGTCAATTATGGTGCTATGATCAATTTGTGGTTTCCTGGTGGCGGAGGGCGCACTTGAAGTTCTTGATGTGAATAGACCTGAAGAGAACGCCAAGGGCAGCAAAACGAAAGCCTCAGGAAACGGCCGCACAACGTCGCAGAGCCCTCGCACCAGCCAGGCCATACCAGGCGAGCGGAAGCGAGGCTGCCGCGTGCCGGGTGGGCGTGCAGGGCGCCAGTGAAGTTGCTGTGGGAGCTGCGGCAAATCACCGCTTTGTCCTGGACTCGGGCTTTCCGTTGGTTTAGAGGAGTCTTCAGTTTCCTTTCAGACCAGGAGCCCGTACTTCCGGAGCATTTTCCAGAAGTCAGGCCTGGGCTTGATGAGGAAGATCTTGTTAAGCTGCACATCCACCATGCATGCTCTGATATGAATCCATTGTTCAGATGAAGAAACTGAGGTGCAGGACAAATAAGCAATTTTCACAAGATGGAAAGGCAGTTTAATGGAGCCAAGGTTTGCACCCAACTTCTGTAACATCCTCTTCAGAGTAGAAGGCAGGGGTGTGGAGCTGGCCATCCATGGGGGTAACCAGGTGTGTCGTCGGATGGGGACACCCAGCACCAGCCTCTGGCCTTGTCTGGGCCCCACAGTGAGATCAGCTGGATCCAGGGGGTTCAGCCAGCTGCCAGCAGGGATGGCAGAGCCTAAGGAAACAGCTGGAGCTACACAGGGCTAGCGAGGGCCATGTGTGTGCGTGTGTGTATGTGTACACATCTGTGAAGGTGTTTGGGTTTGCGCGTGTGTGCATCATGCACGTGTACGCATGTGATGTATGTGTGCTTGTGCATGTAGGGGTGTGCATTCAAGTATATGATGTGCATGTGTGCATGTGGCTGGCACATATGTGTACACAGGTATTGTGAGTTTGGGTGCACGTGTGCATGTAGCTGGTGCATACGTGCGCACAGGTATTGTCATAATGTGTGCATGACCCCAGGGCGGTGGCAGCAGCACAAGAATGCGGTCTGAGGCCACTCTGGGGTCAGCCTCATTGGAACGTTGCCTGATGAGTGCGAGCAAGGGTGTGGCCACCACCCAGAGGTGCCCCCCAGCAGCGGCTGGCCCAGGGTTCCAGGACAAGGCTAGACGTAAAGGCTGCCTCACCCTCCCTCAGAGCGCTCCTCTGACTCCCGTACCCCGGCCTGACCCACGGACCCATGCTTCATCCTCACGGTTTACTGGATGTCCGGCTGCAATAATCTCCCTATACTGTGTGTTTTTATGGCCTCGGTCTCTGAGTGGAAGCCAGGGGTAGGCTCTGGGAGATTCTCCCCAATCATTCTCTGAACCTACTTACCAAGTGCCCGGCATCGAGCCTATTTCTCACTGCCTCTCCCTGCTGTGCCACCCAGGCCGCTCCCACTGCTCTCCCCCCAGGCCCCTCCCCCTGCTGTGCCCTCAGGCTGCTGGTCTTCATCGGTGGTCCGTAAACACACACAGGGCCCTGCCACACGGGGATTCACTTCCTTGCCGGTGGCTCAGCCAAGCACAGGCGCGCTGGGCGGTGTGCTTCCCCCGTGAGGGTCCCCGTGTGTTCTCTGTGGTTCTCCCCACCAGGTCCTTCCTGCACCCGGAGGGGAGGCCGTGAGAGGGTTTGGGTTTCTCTGGCCGGCCCGGCTCCGTCTGATTCTCTGACACGCCTCTGAAGGATGGGGCAGAAGGCAACGGAAGGGATGCCGCAGCACGTGCCTCGCTGATCCTAGGGGCTGCGCCTGGCTGTGCAGAGGCGACTGGTCCCGAAAGCCCTGAGCAGTCGCTCTGCTCTCAGAACCAAGGAACTTGCAGCTGTGCCACGTGACGCCTGTCCCCGCTGTCCCTGCCGGCCAGCTGATCCCACTGCAGGCCGGATGGCTCAGGGCCCGGGGCTCCACGGTGAGGACAGCACTGCCTCAGCCCCTCCCACGCTCATCTCAGGAATGCTTCTAGATTCAGGCTGCTAGACACAGAAAATCAACCCCAAGTGGCTTAAACAACAAAGCAAAGCTATTGACTCATGTGATGAAAGGCCCAGTGGTAAATTGGTTTTCAGGCAAGACTTGATCCAGCAGCTCAGCAGTGTTGTCGAGAACCAGGCTTCTTTCTTTTTTTTTTTTTTTAATATTTTATTTATTTCTAGGAGAGAGAGAGACAGCGTGAGCAGGGGAGGGTCAGAGAGAGGGGGAGTCACAGACTGAAACAGGCTCCAGGCTCAGAGCTGGCAGTCAGCACAGAGCCCGACGAGGGGCTCGAACCCACAAACCGAAAGATCAT